AGATCACTTACAGCATTTCTATTTAACACGCCCTTGAGGCAGCCAAGTTGACGGCATTACACACATGCTGTGTGCATGCTGGACTGGATGGAGAGCCTCCAAATCACTCAGAGGTAAGCAAAGATTTCTTTCTTCCCTTCATAAACTATGTGTTCAAAGTTCAAGAGACAAAGATTTTCTAGATCAATTGCGTGCAGGCGTGCCTTTTGAGCACAGACCTTATTTTCTTGCTTGCACACCCCTGTCCAGCCGCAGCCTTTTTGCACAGGGGTTATTCTCCCAGACACGAAGACCACGGCCAAATAAACACCAAACACAAGCAAACAAACAGCAGCTTCATCGCAATTTTGTTCTTATGCTCCAGCCCTCGCACACCGGAGCCCCGCGAGGAGTGAAGCTGACCCGTCCCGCCGCCGTCCCTCAAGGCGCACGGCGGCGCGGCAGCACCTTGGACAGAGGCGCAGCGCACAGCCCGGCCGTCCCGCTCGTCTCACAGACAAAAGCGCCTGTGCTACCCGCTGTGCTGCCCGCGGGAAACAACCGCTGTGAGGAACCAAACCTCTCCCCAGGGTCCCGCCGGGACTGGCTCTCACGTGCCCGTGCCGCGGCGGGGACGGCCCGCAGACGGCGGCGGAAAGCGGTGGCGCCACGCGATCACCATCGCCGCGCTCCTGAGGGAAAGCACGTCCGCTTCCGGTGCGAGGCGGATATGGGCGGAAGTGGCGGCGGCTGCGCCACCCCTGTGCAGAGCGCCGCCTTGCGGAACGGAGGTCAACAGAGCGGGCTGGACCAAGCGCCCCTCGTCCTGGCTGCAGCCCTGCCATTGCCCCGGTCGCTGAGCAGACAAATTGACCGAGTTCTTGTAGAGTGCTGCTTCTCATTCCCAACACCTCTCCTCTCCTTGTCTGCTCTATGGAATTAAGATGGCATTTTTGGGCTTATATATATCACCTGCTTTGAGCTACCTCTGAGAATCTTTTATGTCCACCACGTAAATGTGGGGGGGAAACCCATAATGGCAGTCAGTAAGCAGTAGTGGATTTCTGCTTCCTTACAAAGATGCTAAGTCCTTTCATACAGAGTATGCATGAAACAACAGATCCTTAGGATTTGGAGTCTAACATCCACTATATGCAGATAAAGTGGCACTGAACTGAAAATCACATTCTGACTTCGTACTTTGCAGCGACATGAACTCTGACTTTAAGAAATAAGCAAATTAAAATATGTTTAGACAAAATGTGGTTATTTATCTTTTTAATTCTGATACCACATTTCCCTATCAAAGAGAAGTTTATCTGGAAATGAATTCATGTGCCTGTGATCTACTGAAAGTGACTTTGATGGACCTTAACTTTATTAGAATCATGGAATCATTATGGTTGGAAAAGCCTTCTGAGATCATCTAGTCCAGCTGTGCACCTACCACCAACACTGCCCACTAAAACGCATCCCTAAGTGCCACATCTACATCTTTCTTTTACACCTCCAGGGGCAGTGACTCCCTGGGCAGTTGCACAGCAATTGGCACAGGCTGCACAGAGAGGTGGTGGGTGCCCATCCCTGAAGGCATTCATGGTCAGGATGGATGGAGCTCCAAGCACCTGATTAAGCCCAGTTTATTGTGAGGGATTTGGACCAGATGACCTTTTAGGATCTCTTCCAACTCAAATGATTCTATGATTCTGGTGGAACCTGCTCAGCCCCAAGGGGCTTGGTTGTCTTACTTTGCCTCTTGGCAAAGTTTTGGTTTCTCAAGGTGCAGCTGACATGCTGAGGGCTGTTGTTTTCCACAACAGCCTTCATTAAAATTCTTTTCTTCCATTGATGTTGTCTCCTGCATCAGTGTCCTGCAGTGTGAATTTGGAGCCTGAGGAAAAGTGTGCCGATGTTTTACTGATGCTCGCAGCTCTCCAGCCCCATGGTCAGCCCTGGACGGCAGCTGACCATCTTCCCACGGCCAGAGTCATTCTGTCTACGAATGGAGCAGGGCGAGCAATGCGGGCTTCCCCCACACGGTGGCACCCCCAGCCCACCCCTGCCCGGGCGACACCAGAGGGGCTGCCGCACTGTGTCCAACACTGTCCCTTCTCCCTGCACACCGGTTGCCCAAGCAGGGCTCTCATCGGAGCTGTGCTGAGGCTGCTGGGTGGGCGTCAGAGAAAGGATGAGGTGTTTGATAATAGTTCTGCTCATCACTAGCTGACTCAGAAGTGTATATCTCAAAGCTGCCTCCTGCTGCTCCTGTTCCTCACACCTCAGCTCTCACTTGGGCCCCATGCATCTCTGCCATACTGAACTGCTTTTTCCAGACGAGCTCCCCAGAGCACCTCCAAGAAGTTCCACCAGTATCTTTGCAATCCATCTGTGTTCACCTCTTCCAATACACCTATTACACCCACTTCTACTTCTTCCTGTTCTCCTCCTTGGGTCCCCATACCTTGTGCTGTCACCACAGAATTGTAAAGGCTGGAAAAGACCTCCAAGGTCATTTAGTCCAACCATCCACCTACCACCACTGATTGTAAGGTAAGAGAGGGAGCATGAGGAATAGCATGGTACAAAAGACTGCTACCATGAGTTTTCATCAGTGGCAACGCGTTGTGCTGGGCAGCAAGCACCTGACCATGAGGAGGACTGATCTCCACAGTCAAGAGCTTGTTAGTTTGCTACAGCTGCAGCTACTGAGATACAAGGTCAGCTGTGCTGTGAATGGGAGGTGCTTGCTTTCACCCTCTTCTTCCTCCTTTTTTTTCTGCCAGTGAGCCCAAGTTGGCCATAAAAGCAGCAGTACTGGAGAGGGATGAGAACATAGTGGTGGTTTCACCCTCAGAGTCCTATTCAGCATGACCTTAAGTGTCAGGAAGACATAATGGGGCAGGAGGGTAGGAGAAGTGGAGATGAAATATATTTCTGCAGAATTGGAATTTGCAAGGTAACAAATATGTGTCTGTGCATCCCTACTAGTTGGGAGGGATTCAGAAAGGGTGGGTCAAAGTGGAATGAGGAGGAGAGATGACATCTCTATAAAGACTGTAGTGGGCTTCTTCCTTGATCTGTGTGACTTTTCGCTGCTCCTTCAGGCCTGGAAAAACTCATTTTATCTTTCTGATTTATATAGTGTTCCTGTGCATGCATGCTCCTTGCATGTCAGCTGGGGGAAATCGAAGGTGAGAAATGTTGCCTGAAAACAGGTTCTTCAAAAACCAACAGGAACTAACAGTGCTCAGAGCGCAGAAGGTGGAAGGCTTATACTGGAGCAAAAATCTCCATAGTTCACTGCCAAACTAAGCTGCAGAGCTGAAAGCAAAGCTGGTGGATTCCACAGGGGAGAAGGCTGAACTGATGGAAAGACTCAAAAATACAACAATACACTTAGATATGTGCTAGGAGGGAGGCACAGATTTCTTACAGGAATCCAGAGGAGGGAGATACAAAGAGGTCAGAACTGTGAACTGGCTGAGTGGCAGTTCCTATTGTCCTTAAAGTCCAGGGAAAGGGCTGGAGTAACCATGGGCTGTCATCTCCATAGGACACCATGTCCCTTGCATCCGTCACTCTGCTGTGTAGGTAGTGGGATTATAACTGAGGGCTCTGCTGTTGTGAAGGAGTGGAAGCAGCAATTGGATCCAAGTTGCTTGATCAGGCTTCAAAGATGCTCTACCAAAAAGTGCTTTGTCTATACTGTGTCAGGCCTACACTGTGGGATATTCTTTGCAAAGTGTTGGGTCTGTATTGGAGATAAGAATGGAATACAGCAAGAAACTCAGTGCACATGCACTCCTGGCAGGGAGAGTGGCAGCTGTGTATGGGATGGGGGGGATCAAGTCCAGACTCTCGCCTTTGACTCCTCTCTTTACCTTTCTTTCTTACCACAATGCTAGGGAGAAACATAAAAACCTGTGCATGAATGTGAGCTGGCTTCTCTCATTCATTGCCTCCGACTCAGAGCTCCAACATATTGACTCTGAGTTGGGTCATGTGGATGACATCTTATAATGGAGAAAATACACATGTCGTTACAGCCATCTCTCTCCTGCAGCTGTGCCTTTCATACAGTATTATTATCAAATCACTGGTTTCTTCAGTTGTGCTCTGGGCCATCATTTTGCTGAGGCAGCATGGTAGGTCCTCCTTGCCTTCCCTTTCTCTAACAGGACCAACATGGCTGGCAGGAAAAGCTTGATGAAGGCTGTAGGAAGTATCCCAGGAGAGCACACTGGAACATTGCTGGGGCAGCATGGTGTGAGATTTGGGATTTGGGACTTTTCAGCCTGGGAAGCAGCCTTGAGTCCATAGCCCAATCAGCCCACGCAGCAGCTAAACTGGGTGCCTGCCTTCATTTTCCTCTTGAGCGTGTCTGTTTGTTAAATAATGTAGCAACACAAGGTTCCTTGAACTAAATTTATCTTCCCATGTAGCTATGGGAACAGTTGATGGCACAGTGACGTTGGGGCTTGCAGTCAGATCTGCTGCAGGGCTCTGGGCTAGTGTGGCTAAGCTCAGTGTCTTTCCACAGATGCTATCCTGCGTGGGAGCTTCTCCTTTCTTCCAGGCCTGCTTTTTTAGGCAGCATAACCACCCTTTTGACCCAGTGAATTTAGAAAAACATGAGGTTTTGCAAGCAGCCAGAGGCCACGCGTGCCACATGGCTGTAGGGATGCTGTAGCTCACTGCCCTGCCTCATGGTTCATGGGAAGAAACTAACGAGGGCAATTGCACGTGGTGGATTGCCAATGCTCTTCAAGGCTGCATTTATCTCCTGCTCAGAAGCTTCCTGAATCGAATGTGGTTTCCTACAAGTATAAAACTAAAAGAGTTGAGAACATCCTCTCAAATTCTTGAATTCACCCTCCTTCCTGAAGAACTTTCCCTGGGTGTGGAAGGACAAGGGTGTGTGTGGCCAGCACAGCATTGCTCTTTTGACTTGACTTCAACACTTCATTTATCCCGCAAAGTCACAAGACCGCGTGACAGAAACTGTTGGCTTAGATGGCGTCACCAGTCGTGTCGTCTGTGTTGTCCGAAAGTCAGGGTTGAGCAACATGCTATGTGGATAGAGAGTGTCTCATCCTGCATGGTAAGGACTTTGCTGTGTCCTTTTCCCCTGTGGCTGGACTTGTGCGCCTTTCTGCACTGCTCACTTTCACTGTTGCTGGTGCAGATAGAAAGGACGTGTGTATGCAAGTGTGCTTTTTTTCCTGCAGTCTGTAGGTACAGCGCCTGCGTCTACGATTTTTGATCTCCTGTCTTTCTGGCTGAATCCTGGTTTGTTTCTAGTTCATATTTCCAGATCTCAGATCTACTTCTGTGAGCTCTCTTGACATTTTCAGATTGTGCTGCCTACTGTGTTTTCAGGTCAATCCTGTGGGTGGTAACACTGGAGTTTGAAGGTAGCTCTCTTATCTCCCTCCATTCATGGTTTGAAGGTAGCATTTCTTATCTCCACTTATATTTATTTGTTTTTCCCTTTTTTTTTTTCCCCGCCCCCCCTTGTTCTATTAAAATCTTGTCAGCTGATCCCCAAACCATAGGGCAGTACCCTCATGGCATTTAATTTTCAACAGAGCTGTCCAGGGCATTGAATCTATACCAGGATATCTCAATGAATCAAAGTTTCCTTTCACAGCGTTAGAGACATCTGCATGAATTTTGCAGTTGCGTGAAATATGATTTCCCATAGCCAGAGCCTTGGGGAGCAACTATGTTTCTGGCCATGCTAACAAGTTCTATCCCATAAGCCAGTCATCCTTTGAATCTTCTGCCCTGGTTATGGCATGAGACAGAGCTTTATTTTCTCCAAAGCTGCTGCTGAAGCAGGCAGTGTCCACATATTCTTTAGGCTTGGTCTCCACGTGCACTAGCCAGTAATCTCAGTGGCTGCTGCTCTTCTTTGCACTTTTTTTATTCCATCCCATTATATCTAGCTCTGGGATCTGAACTTTCTCCCCAATCCTACTTGACCTTATTTCTTTGTAGGATTATTTTCAGGCATCTGTGAAGTTTCTTATGTGACGTGCAGCTGCACCTCGTCCCCAGGAAATTGGCTGCATCGAGAGCCGAGGCAGAGCCCACACAACTCAAAGCTGCTCCTGTTTCATTCCTTCCACTCAAGGAATGGGTGTCGTGCATACATGACGTGCAAAAAGCAGATACTGGGTGTCAGCAACAGGAATGAGCTTTTCTGAATGAGGAGGTGGCGAGTAAAGGGCAGCTTTGATGCAAGCATCGATCGGCAGGGATCCGTGAGCCTACAGAAATGTTTAACAGCTTGCGAACAGTTAGCAGGTGTCATACTCTCTCCTCTCTGTGTCTCACATTGCCAGCAAGGCAAAATATGTACTCCCTACAGCAATATGTGGGTCTCTGGCATTTCTTGATCTAATTTGTTTTTGTCTTTTTTTTTTCCCCTCTCAGTTTAAAGAAATAACACAGAAAATAGTTTTGTAACGGAGCATTTCCTAAATGAATACAACTTGGCAAACAGTAGAGCTATTTATTTTCTTTAGTAGATAAGCTGCTATCAAAGTACCTGGTTCTGAAACTTGGCACTTCTCTCAGGCATCTTTCAAAGCACGGCGAGTACTGCCTGTGCCAAAAACTTGATGCCACAGTCATTTGGGGGAATTAAGTTGTGTAGTGAAGGTAAATACTTTTTGCAGGCGAGGAGGTCAGTGAAGTATCTTAAAAGATAAGGCCATTTGGCAGAGCTTCCAGCTCCTAGAGCTCTGCAGGTCCTCCCTGTCAGTACCATGCTGTGAAGCTGTGGGGCTGCAGGCAGCCCAGAAAGGTTGGTGGGAAAACCCAGCCTAGCTTGCCTTAGTTTCCAGCCCTGAATGAGGCCCATGCAGGCAGAAGGAGCCAGGGAAGAGCAACGCTCTGTTTCCCCTCAGCCCATACCGCTGTGTGGGGTTCAGCTTTCTTCATTTCACCAGTCAGCTGGGAGTTCCACACCATGCTCTGTAGGCAGCTTCCATCTCTTCTACAGAGATTCCTATGGGAAATGGTTTCAAACTAAAAGAGGGGAAATTTAGATTGGATATATGGAAAAACTTTATTATAGTAAGGGTGGTGAGGCACTGGCACATGTTGCCCAGAGGGGTGGTGATGCCCCATCCTTGGAGACCCTCGAGGTCAGGCTGGACAGGTCTCTGAGTACCTGACTGAGCTGTGCCCCTGCTCAGTGCAAGGGAGTTGACCTATAAGAGGCCCTTCCAGTGCAAATGATTTTGTGATTCTATGACTCTGGTGATCTGTGCAGTAACACTAACCTGTTTTCACCAGTGGACTTACAAGCCAGAATCAGCACGTGGAGCATGTGTGGGATGCTAATCGCTGCAGCACACTTGGGAGAGGGGCTAATTCAGTTTTTGGGAGCAAGCTGTAACTCACAGCAAGACCCTTGTATGCAAGCATCCTGTGTTGAGGAACTACCAGGTCCCACAGTGTCTGTGCTCCTCACCTTGAAAGCAAGGAGTTAATTGCTTCTGCTACCTGCTGTGTCTTATCAGTGGCTTCCCCTCCAGGGTGGGATACAGTCCTGCTGCCTCTGCTGGCAGATGGAGAGAACGGCTTTGCAATCTGGCAATACCATTACAATAAGGTGAGTTCAAAATGTTAGATGGCCAATGAGGAAGTCTTTGAAGGCAGGGAAATAGGGCTAATCTGAGATTAATTGCTCTGTTTTCTCCCTGCTATGTCAGATTTGATCCAAATCCAAAGGTGAAGGGCAGTGCTGTTTCCGGTAAAACCGTACAGGAATAGCTCAAAGGGTATGGGAGCATCAAGGTTGTGGAGCCTTAGCTCTGTAATGCCAACACACTCCTTAGGTATCTCTATGGCTTATTTCCCCCTAAAAGGAAATGACTAAAAAATCGGGTAATGAAAATACATCTGTTGGAGCAATCTTGGGAGTGTCAGCCAGTTGTAGCTGATGTTGTGCGACTTTGTTCTGATGACCTGAGGACCGTAGAGAGAAGTTTTCTTGAGAAGAAAGTTCCTTGCAGTTGTGCTGTTCTGTGACGTGGGTCTTGTCCTGGTTTTAGCCTTTTTTTAGCAAGCTGGACGTCCCAAAATAGAGGCTATTGCAAGTTCTGTGAAAAAAGGCACCTGCTTCAAGGAAAGATTAGTGCCCTGGGGTGGGAAAAGCTTCATGAAATCACACTCTTCCTTTGAAATCCTGAGCAGAGACAAGAGGCAACTCCAGGGCTATTGAAGCCTCCCTGGGCTGGGTGCACCACTGAGAGTCAGGAGGGATCAGCTGTGTCTCAGGCTCAGCATCTTCTAAGTACAAACCCAGGTTACAGCTGCCAAAATGTTGGTGTCCCTGGACTGCAGCTTTCAAGTTTCCCATGTATCCTGAGCTTGGAGACAACAGGCTTGCTAGGGATGACTCTGTGAACTGCTTTACACAACCGCAACTCACTTTATTCATGTAAAGGTGTTTAGGACTATTAAGTCTTGATCCCCTCTTTGCAGCAAACTGCCAGTTAGCCAGAGCTCAGCACTGGGGCTGCCCAGAGTGCAGTACAACTCCTGCTCAACTCACTAGGTATTTCCCAGCTCTCCAAGAGAGGTTTTGTCTGGAGATGTCTGCTTTCACCAAAAATTCTGCAAAGTTCCCTGGCACAGCTTCTGTTTACGTTTCTGTACAAATGTTTCTTGCTGATAAAGCTTGCTTTGCTGGCTCAGTAGATGTAGGCTCTAGTGATACTGTTCTTGCTACTGCAGATTGTAAATGTGCTGGGTTTGCTGAGATTCTTAACTTGGAGCTCCTGTAGTGTAGATTAGACTTAAATTACGGAGAAATGTAATCGTAGCATTAATGAAATGCCTTGAAGATCAGATATCTATGTCATCTTAACAGATTTAATATGTAATTTTCCAAGGTAAATAAGTTTTATAGCTCACCTGATAAATTTCTGAATTGCTGTTCAACCTCAGCCAAGAAGGTTGGGAAGGTGCTGTCTAGCAATCTCCTTGGGTGCACCCAAAGGTCTATTTCCTCTCTGTGTTGCTGCGTCAGGGAATTTGCTCCGCAATATTTCTCGCATGCTTTTCTTTAAAGATCAAAAGATCCTTTAAAGCTCCCTTAAACAGCCTGTTTCCAAAAGAAGTATGCAAAGCCTTGAGGTTGTGGACGAACTTTTCTTTCAAATTAAGGTGTTTTCTGAGGAAGAGCTGGTTGTTTTGATAACCCTCACCTGCACTGTGAAGTGTTCCATTAAAACCAGAAGAGCTGGGCACCAACAGGGTGATCCCCATGGCTTGGGGAGGGCAGGAAGCCTTTGGAAGTGAGGAATGGGTGCCATTGATGTCAGAGGAAGAATTGTGTCCATGCTGTACTGAGGCTGCAGTATGGCATGGGAAACAGCTGAGGAAGGAGGAAAGCAGAGGAATGCAGAGGCTGCTTCCAAGTGCTTTGGCCCATCAGGATCTTGGCCTGAATTTTCTTTGCCTCCCTCCCCTCCTCTCTGAGCACTTCCCCGGGTTGCACAGGGATGGCCTCTGTTATCTTCTGGTCCAATGCTGCTTGAAGAGTCTGCGTGAATTATTTGCTGCTTCAGATCCTCAGTGGGAACAAGATGTGGGATGACAGAGAGCTAACTAACCTCCACGTGCCTGGAGGCATCGCGGGGCTGAGGGCTGCCCCCCTGTCTGTGGGATGCCCAGCGAAGATGGAGGGATTTCCACTCTGACTGGGGCAGGTAGCAGCCGGGCTTGGTGCTGGGCACTCGTCCCTCCTCTTCTGACAGCCTGTTCCAGTGTTTCACCACTCTTTTGGGGAATGTTTTTTTCCAACCTGAACCTCCCCTGGTGTGACTTGAGGCCATTCCCTCTCATCCTATCACTAGTTATGCGGGAGCAGAGGCAGACCCCCATCTTGTCACAACTTCTGTTCAGGGAGTTGTAGAGAGCAGTAAGATCTCCTCTGATCCTCCTCTTCTCCAGACCAAATAATCCCAGTTCCTTCAGCCACTCCACGTAAGACCTGTGCTCCAGATCCTTCACGGTTCCACTGTCCTTCTCTGGACTCACTATAAAGCCTCAGTGTCTTTCTTGTAGTGAGGGTCTGAATCCTGAACACAGCTGAGGTGCGGCCTCACAGAGCTGAGTGGAAGGAGTCGATCACCTCCTGCTGACTGCACTATTTCTGGTACAAGCCAGGATGCCCTTGGCCTTTTCAGCTATTTGGGCACATTGCTAGCTCACATTCAACCCCCTTGATCCAGGGAGGTGGGAAGGGGGTGATGTGACTGAAAGACATGTTTTATAACTGTCCCTCCAGGTCTCAGCCCACAGCCCAGGTGCAGCTGCAGGTTTGTGTGCTAGGCATTTATGGCACCTCTACCTCCTCTGAAGATAAGGGCATGTTAATCCTTTATTGCCCCCTTTCTTCATTTGAGGCACTGTCTGGAGTAAGAGGGGAAGTTCTCTCCTTACGACAGAGGATTAGTCACCAGCACCCAGCCCTGCAGAGAGGGGCTCCTTCCATCCTGCGAGGTCACCCTGCTGTCTGCGCACCATCCCACCCCTCCTGTTCACATCCCCTTATATGATCTCACTCCTCTGTGCCCTCCCTGCTCCCGCTGTGCAGGCAAGGAGCTGTGGGGCTGACCCTGCACCCTTGCCTGCCTGGCTCCGCTGCCCAAAGGCATGGCCTCATCCCGACTGCCGTCCTCTCTGGCCCTGGGCTGGGCTGCATCCAGCCTGACCCCAAGGACCCACCTTATCTGACTAATGGGGAACATGGCTATTGCATGAGGCAGAGATAACCACTGCTGCATTCATGCTCCTGCTGTCCTTCATATTCCCTGTTTTCACTCCTGTTCTTAGAAGAGGAAAATCTTTTCCAGCCTGCCTTTCCCTGGAGCCAAGTTTCTTTGGGTGCATTCAGCTTGGATAGAGCCCACAGAAATTGGACAGGGGAAAACTTCCTGGCTCAAGGGATTGCAATCAATTGCACGGGCCAGAGAGAAACCCTTGTTTCTGCTGCAGGGCAGTTGGGGCCTGCAGTGGGGCTGCGCCCCAGAAACCTTCCCCAGGGTCAGCAGACTCCCAAGTAGTGCCATGGCCCAGTGCTCACGTGCCCAAACTGAAGGCATTCCCAGTATTGGTTTTGGCTGCACCATGCTGCTCCGTAGGGAAGGTGTGCAGGAGCCAGAAATCCTCCTTTCTGATTCTCAAATGACAATGTTAATAAGGCCAGCAGTGGTAAAACTCTGAGTAGAGTGTTTCCATCACACACGTGTTTAATTAAGCCAGCATCTGCCCACAGACACAGGCCATGCTGTCAGCCCTGAGTAGGAGTGAGGAGCGAGGGCAGAGCATTCTTCCTCTCCTCCAGCAGGAAGTCTCTTGCCAAATATTTTCTTGCCTCCTCTCTGGAATAGCTGCCAAGGAGCAAAACATTCACAGTGAAAGCCTTGAATGAAAGGCAGTGCCTTTCACTGAGCACGGCAGCTCGCGTGGCCGTGGGCTGCAGCACCTGCTTGCTCTGCACAGCAGCCCCCATCACCTCAGCCCTCTCCCAAAGCAGCAGTGAGTAACTCAGCTTTGTCATCTGGCTTTGGAAAGGCAGGTGCAAGGCCTTTGCCTTGAAATCCACTGTGGTCCCTGATAATGAGCATCTTTCTTGGTGAGGAAGGAAGGAAGTGTGACTCACACTGTTATCAGGAGCGTTAGCCCTACAGGTAAATGCAGTTTCACTGATGCGAGGTTAACGGTGACGTCTCGGTGGGGAGCCTGCCTCAGCAGGGAACCTGGTGCCCTCTTTTCTGGGACCTAATCTAAATCCTTTTATAAGGGGCTGGCAGGTGGACCAAACTTCCCTGGGCAAAGGGGTTATCTTACATCCGGCAGTGGGATGTGGTACCAAAGGACAAAGGAGGTGGCCTGAGGGTTAAAAAGTGCTCGCTCCTTCATGGACACCTTGTACCCTCCCTCTGTCCCCCTTGCCCTTGGCACAAGTGGCTTTGCACAGCATCACCTTGCCGGCTGCTGGGGCTGCAGCTGCACAGCACATCCCGCCAGTGCTAAAGGATTGCAGGGAGCAGGTTTGACCCTGCCCTCCCATCCCAAACCTGCCCCTGCAGGAACCCACAGGCTTAGACCCACCTGCAAGACCCCTCTGTATTTTATTTCATCTCCTTTATGGCCAAGAGCAAGGGATGGAGCTCCCTTTGCATCCATCTTTGCAGGATGGATGAAGCAGACAGGTGAGCATGGCCCTGCCAGAGCCTGCCCTGACACTGGTGAGGTGCTGGGGTACTCCTTAGTACCACAGAAAAGTTCAATCGCAGCCCATCTAGAAACACAGATTTATTGTGATATCAGCTTGCAATCAGTACTCCATCCCCACACTGTCCCCCCAAAATTCTGGGCTCCTGTGGGTGCCCTAATCCCCCCTCCGGTGTCTCCAGAGCCACAGATGAGCAGGTGAGCCCCAGCGGCACAATTTCACTGTCCTTGCTGGGCTGTGGGCTGCAGGATGGAGTTTGGTCATGAGAAGACTGCCGTGCAGGGGCTATGGGTGTGCTTCCAGCTGGCTTGCAGGGGGAGCTCCAGAAGTGGTAACAGAAGCTGGACTCAGGGTCCTCCACAGCTGAGATTTCTGAGCAGTCATATGTCAAGATCCCCGAGCAAAAGATATGAACGTGGGAGACACCGCTGCATCTTCTCCTCTTACTGTGTGCCCTCGGTGCCAGCCCAGGTGTTTTGGGAGCTAGGAAAAGTGCTGACCAGGTGCCCTGCTGCTGCTACACATATCCCGTCAGGTTGTAGGAGCTGAACTCACTCTTGGGCTTCTGCATTTGTTTCATGGAGGGCTGGGGACTCCTGCTTGCCAGCAGCCGGGGCGAGTAGGGGCCTGATGGGTCACGGGGAGGGCAGGAGGCACAGAGGATGAAGCCACCAATGAGGGAGAGCAGAGAGGAGATGATGCCCAGGTATAGAGCTTCCCCCAACTCAAATTTGGTGCTGTCGGGGAGCAGGGGGTTGTGGAAATCTCGTAGCACCACATGGATGTTCCACACCAGTGGGATGAAGCAAAGCAGCCCCCCGAGGATGAAGACCACACCACCCGCCACTGCCACTCGGTCCTTGGCTGGGGAGCCCTGATTGAAGACGGTGCACCTCATGCCCACCACAGCCATAAGGCAAGCAAGGGAGGAGACGGCACAGGAGCTCACCATCAGGGCCTGGGCTGCCTGGATGTCAGGAGGCAGGTTGAGCAGGGAGCTGTAGATGTCGCACTGAGTGATGCCCGTGCTGTATGTAGCACACTCCATCCATAGCCCCTTGGTGAAGCTCACAGCTGTCACGATGCTCGAGCCAATGTAGGAGCTGATCTTCCAGTTGGGCAGCAGCGTGGTTGTCAGCGTGCCGATGTAGCCCAGGAAGGCCACGATGTAGCCCACCAGCTGGAGTCCCATAGAGACCATGGTTGGGCCGGCTGTCACCTCTCCCGCACGTTTACCTTCCCATGGCCCTGCTAGCGGCTCCTCTCGCTGTGCTGAAGCTTCACCCTGCTCCTGTGGGTGTTGGTTTTGTGAGGGCACGGGCGCGTGGGGGGAGCCGGGGGGAGGAGAGGTTACCTGCAAGAGTGGAAAGCAATCCCTCCCCGATTAACGATTGACTCGAGCCTGCAGAGAATCGCCAAGCACCCTTTCACCTCTGTTATCTTCCCAGGCAGGCTTCAATAGGCAGCACAGCGGAGCCCAGGCAGGCCGCCAAAGCCCCTCCTTGTGCTGTGGGCAGGATGGGGAGCTGGCTGGTCCCCATCAGGTCTCTGCTGGGGCATCTCTTAATGCATGGTGTCTCCTGGTGCAAGCCTCCCCAGCCACCTCTTCCTTCACCCTGTGTCCTGCTTAATGGAAATATTCTTTTGCTGCTGTGCACTCCTCCAGCTGCCTTTGCAAACTCAGCTAGTCTTTATCTTTCCCTGTTTCAAGGCAAAAAAGAAGCCAAAACACTGTGGCTGCATGTTGTTTGTTTGGAACTGTTGGAGGTGCTTTAGAGTGGTGGCCCTGAGGTTTTCTCAGCAGAGGAATGGGGTTCCTAAAGCATCTGCTGCTATCCCCCCACCCCACAGAGAATCCAGCAGGAATGGGGCCAAGGGATGTGTTCTCCTGAGGGTGAATCACAGCTATCAGCCTTCCCATGTGATGATGAAAGGGAGGAATGGCAGGTGACAGCGACACCTACATCCCTAGGAGAGCCTGGAGGTTCACAAAGGACAGCAATGCACTGGGCACAGTGTGTTAATGGTGAGTCCATGCCAGCTCCTGGGAGCATTCTGTCCTGCAGCAGGCAGTGTGTGCTCCCCATGTGGGTGCTAGTGCCATGGGGTTTTTTTCTGCCCCAGCTGGGGGTGGGCAACAGGGATCTGGCAGACACGGGGCGGTTTGTTTTTCCTTCATCTTGTTTCAAAATTCCCCCTGCTGTGGCTCTTGCGAAACAGCAAACCACACAGATACTGCCTGGCCAGTGGCCTCCTGCCCTGGGAAATTTGCCGGCTGAGGGTGCACCCCTCCCAGAGCCTCCATTCCCTTTCCCCGGCCTTGGAACATCAAATGTTTACTATCAAAATTTCCCGACTTTCATCTCCTTTCCCACGTGCAACCCAATATACAGCCACTCAATCTTATGGGTGCTGTTACAGAACTAACACTCAGGTTTTGGGGGCTGGCAAACGGGCATGCGAGGGACTGTGTACTTACAGAGATGGCTGGAGATGTGGTGCGGGACCGAGGGCAGCTGCAGTCCTACAGGAAGAGGCTCGTCAGGGCTGGGGATCAGGGACTGCGAATGGTTCACCTCGGCTTTGCAAAATCCATCCACAAATCTCAGCCTGGAGGCTTATTGCAGATCAGAATTAAACCCTTTCGGTGTCAGGAAGGATTGAGGAGCTGGGATGCCTTGTTTTGCTTGTTTTCTATTAATTATCAGGGTAGGTGGTTGCCTAAGTGGCTTGGGATACCAGGCTAGGGCGGGGGCAGTGGTGTGTGGAGGAAAGGCGGTGAGAAGAGATGGGGTGGAGTGAAGGGAGCAGAGCCAAGGATGGAAACTGGCTGCAGAGATGAAGCCAAATTCCTCCCTTGCCTTCCATCTGCGCTGGCTCCAGGGGCCCTTTGCTGTCAGTGGTGATGCCCGGCTGGCAGGGGCGCAGAGGGGACTTTTCTCCTGTGGGGTTCAACAGCCCCTGAGACCTGTTTTGGCCAGTGCTAGAAGAGAGTGGCTGGAGATTGAGCTGGGCATAGGGCAATGCAGTGTGCAAGTTACCAAGGTGTCCCACAGCACACCAGTACCACAAGAGATGGACAACCACAGCATTTCCATCTTCTACGCTGAATCCCATCCCTGCCAAGCTGTGTGCTGGGATCACAGGGCAGCAAAAGACCAGCAGGTTGAACTCTCCAGCCTTGCTTGTCCTCTGCAGGGTTTGTTATTGTAAGACTCCTGGCCCAAATGAGGAGCAAATGGGGACGGTAATGAGGGCTGTTGCTCGTGCCATGCCCCCTCCCGTTCCCCGGCTGCTGCAGATGGACTGGGGCAGGGAGGGCCCCTGGTGACAAATTGTGCTCAGAGCCAAGCCGATCCTGGCCAATGTTTGGACACTGCTGGCAGAGCTACAGCAGGGACCATTTGCTATTTTCTTTCCTTGTCTCAAACTGAAACTCTCCCAGGATCGGGGGGTGACCTGCCTGCAAGTGGCACCTCGCATCAAGTGCCCAGTCAGGAGCAGCACGAGGGGTGGGATGCATACAGGTATGGCTTTTGCATCCTCCTACTGAGAATCCTTCCTGCACCTCCTGATACTGTCTGCATCCCAGAGAGCCTAGGGAGATCACTGGCAAACACTGCAGCAGTAAATTATGGAATCATAGAATTATTTGGGCTGGAAAAGACCTTCAAAGACCATCTAATCCAATTGCTCTGCTGCGGGCATGGACATCGCTTTAGCAGATCATACTGAACCATTCTGCTGGGAGGGGACAGCCAGCTCTGAGTTGTGCCACTGCTTTTGGTTGCCAGCTCCGTGCTGCAGCTGTGCCCAGCCCTGCAAGGCTAAAGCTTGGGGAGAAGCTGCCTTGTGTCTGTGTCCCACTCACCTTGGGGCTGGTCCTGCAACCAGCCTTGGGGATATGACAGGCATTATACACTATACATTATATGCAGCACCTCTTTGCTGTAGGAATAAAACCTGGGACCGCCCTGGAGGACCTGAGCAGGAACATGTGTGCCTGAGCAGGACTGCTGCAATCCCCTGGCACCAATCTTCACCCCTGTCCTCTCTTGAGCATCCTTTCTCTCACCTTCTGGTTGGTCTGTGCTTGCTTCTGCTGCAGCCCATCACACTGTCACCATCATGCCATCCTCATCCCCTGCCCGTCGTGATGCCCCAGCACTCCTGATCAATTCCCCAAATCCCCTCTCCCTTATGCAAATGGTTACTAAGAACACTTAATCATCCTTGTTAATTGTTTTTGCCCTACCCTGTTTCCCCCCACACCCCCCTGAGCCCTCCTGGGGACTTTCTCACAAATGGTGTCTAACTTTTCCCTTCTGTGTTTTGCTTTTCCACAACACCCTGCTTCCAGTCCCCCCCAGCCCTCTGTTTACACAACTGGGACAAATTTCACACCCTGGGGACTGCTACCCCTGAGCCCCCAGTCCAACACTCTCCTGCCACAAAGAATTTGTGAGTCACTGGTGAGGGCAGATCTATATATAAAGCTATCCTCACGAAGGACCTCCAGCCTTGGAGGGGACACCGTTGCCACCATGGAAGCTGCTGCCTGTTGCCTGCCTCTCCACCGGCTCCCGTTGCCCACAGCTGGTGCTTGCCCAGCCCAGGGGCTGCAGCAGAGGGGAAGGTACTTTGGGTGCAGAATGGGTGGGGGGGCTGGAGCAGGCAGCAGTGGCTATGTGGGAAGGCTCCAGGTGAGTTTGGGTGAAGGCCGTGTGCTCCTGGTTTACGTGCAGACTCCCACAATCCCAGCACTGAAGGTGCAGAGCCTAGGGTCTGGGAGCTCCTGCAGGGAAGGGACCACAAGTGGGGTGGTGGATATGCCTGGCACCAGGGCAGGGGTTGTGGATGTACTGGCAAAACTGGGGTGTGTGGCTGGGGTGTGGGTGAGCAAGGCAAGCGGGGAGGAAAATGCAGGGTGCCCACTGTGCTCATCTTTCTGTCCTCCCCGAGACCCAAGCCACTCTGGAGACCATGGCTGCCCCAGGAGGAATTCATGACCAGGCAGCAGAGGGAACAGATGGACACTGTGAGTTTTATTCTTCCTGCTGCGACCCACTTTTTTTTTCCATTGGCAGCGTTGGGGTCACCAGCCTCTGGCCCCAGACTCCTTTATCCCTTGCAAGGGCTGAGCAGAGGGCACAGAGCAGGCACCTGCACCCTGACATCCTCCCCAAAGCCCACGGGAGGGTAGCTGCAATAAGGGGGTGAGCAGGGAGTACTTTGGGTACCCACATTCCCCAGCATCTCTTCTCCACTCCCCAAGCCTACAGCCTGCTGGGGCAGTGCCAACCGCAGCAAACACAGCTGCTCTGTGGGGTCTGAAAGGGATGCCTGTTCCCGGCCTGGCGGGCATTCCTCAGGGGGTTAGCAGGACGCGTGGGCACAATGGGGGAGATTACTCTGGCAAAAAGCCCTCGTGTGGGGTTTAGATGCCAGCTTCCTTTGCGGGAGCGCAGGGAACTGAATCCATTCAGCAGAGGAGCGGGGAAAATTGGGATGCGGTCTGGCCCCACAGACACACTGCTCAGGGGCTGTGAGGTGGTGTGTAAACCTCTGATGTTAGGAAGGAGGTCTGTGTCACTGCAACCACGGCAGGAGCAGGGGCACAGGGATATGGGGCAGATCCCAGCCCAGCTCTGTTCCCACAGGTTCATCCCCTCGATGCTGCAGGAGACCACAGCACTGACAAAGCGCTAGCACTGTTCCGCCATCCGGTCAGGTACGTCCCTGTGCCGGCGCCATGCCCACAGCTAGGACAGGCAGGTTCTCACGGTGATTCTCGCCAACAGGCTTCTGTGGCCCAAATCCAGGTGCTTTGACTATCTGTACAGTGTGGCGGAGAAGCTGCTGGAGAACTTCCCGGTGCAGGCCACGCTGTGCCTCTATGATGACTCAGACAGCGAGGGGGATGAGACCGAAGATGACGATGAAGATGGCGATGAAGGGAACGAAGGCGAGGCCGGAGGCGCTGTGCCCGCGCTAGGGGCAGGCTCCCCGCGGCCGGCCTGAACGCAGCACACGTGGCACGGGCATGGAGGATGACTGAGGCGTAGGGCAGCGCGGGGCCTTGGTGCCGCGGGGCAGCGTGAGCCGGGTCCGGCCGCTCGAGCAGCCGTGACGCTGAGCGCGGTGCAGAGCCCAGCCCCATGAAGCGGCACAGGGCCCAGCGGCGCCGGCAGTCAGTTTGTGGAGAAATAAAGCGCGTGAAACTCCGACGGCCTCCGCGGTGTGAGGCGCGGGGCGGGGCGGGGCGGGGCCGCACGCAGGCGGTGACCGATCCCCGATCGTGGTTCCGCAGCGCCGCCCGCAGCACGAAGCGCTGCGCCGCAGCGGGCGTGGGACTACTACTCCCAGCAGCCTAGGCGGCCGCATCGCGCTCTCCCATTGGCTGCACGTTCACAGAGTCCGCGTTTGATTGGGGAAGGCTCGTAGGCCCGCCCACTTTTCCTCTCCGCGCTTCTAATTGTAGAGGCGGAGGAGGAGGCGGGGCGTGCTGGCTGAGGGGGGGATGTGATTGGCTGAGAGGTGGGAGGGGGGCGGAGCTTTCCTCTTCCTGCCCGTCGGCGGGAGGGAGCGGCTGCGGCGGGGCGCGAGGCCGCCATGAGGTACGGGCGGGGCGGCGTGAGGCGGGCTGTGGGGTGGTGGGGGAACTCGGGGTGATGTGGGGTACAGGGGCTGAGGGTATGGGGTGGGCTTCGGGCTGGGGCGTTGAGGCTCTGTGTGTGTGGAGGGGGGGATGCCAGGGCTGGAGGTCAGTGTATGGGCTGGGGGAGCTGCGGGCAGGGCGGGCCTGGCTGGGTGCGGGAGGTGCTGTGGGGCCCGGCTTCCCCGTGGCGCGTTCTGTGGGGCCGCCCGGAGCCGAGGGCGACAAATGGGGCCGGGGTCTGGGCGTGGAGGGAGGGGGCCGGGCCGCGGCGTCGCATTGAAGGCTGCCGCGAGGTGAAGCTTCGGGCCCCCGCGGTGTCTGGCGTGCGGAGCGGGCGCAGCCTGGCACCGCGTGGTGGATCCTGGCACAGAGCATCGCTGGGGAGCGGGAGGAATCCCCGCTGGCTGGATCACGGCTGTGGCGCCGGTCGGTCCCTCGTCACACCTGTGCCCTTACCCTGGACTCTGCGGGCTGGGATCGCGCGCCGGGCTTTGCCAGCACGATTTCCTCCTTTGGCATCAGGGAGGGGGGTGGGGGGAGCCCGGGGGAGACACGAATGTGCGACTGCAGCATCCTCGCATTCACGGACGCATCCCTCTCGCCTCCTCGCCGTTGCTGTAGCAACCTCCCGTCGGTGGGGTATTTATAGAGGAGAGCTGAGAAGCGTGGGGCGGACGGGGCTGGGTGGGTGTCTGCCGGGTCAGCCTCCAGCTTCTCTCATACGGTGGGTGGGTGCTCAGGCAGTGCTGCTCGCCGGCTGCCGGCCCTCCCGCTCATCTCCCCTGGGGGCGGCCAGGGATCTGCGTGTGGAAATTAAAAATAAATACCCGTGTTGCTCACCCTTGTTGCGTGCGCCCGAGCAGGCAGCTCTTGTGCTTGCAGGCTTGTGCAGAGCAGGCTTATTGTTGTGCTGGAATAAACAGTCTCTTGTTTCTGACGCTGGGTGGTGCATTGGCACAGATGTTTAGGGAAAAAAAAGTTAAAACTGATGAAATTGATCATTACTGTACTTTTATGCCTGCGGTGTCAGGCTCCATGAATGTAAAGCGTGCTTCATGGAGCCTGGGATCCTGGCAAGTCTAGTCTTGAATATGTTTATTTCCGCGACTCGAATTCTCGTGTGTATCAGGTAGAGAAGGTGTGATGCTCATTGCCTGTAATAATGAGTGGCACGAAGTTTGTGTACTGTGTGGATGCTGGGGCAAATTTTCTTTGCAGCCTGTTCTTTGATACAGAGGATTTGAGTTTCTTCATTAAAACAGACAGCAACAAAATCAGGTCAGTATCTGCTCACAGCTGACAGAACCTATAAGGGAATGTGCGGCTCCTGCAGCCTGTGTGCTCCCATCAGACTTGGGAATGTGGTTTGGAGGAGCAAGATCAAGTGTTCCATTCCTTGTGGAGAGAAACGTGGATGAATGCCCAGCCTGGGGAGTGCGAGATGGCAAATCTGTCACATGTAATTGTTCTGTTGCTTTCCCTCTGTCCTGTTTAAATCCCAGGCTAGGTGTTGCAGAATTTCTCAGTCTGTTTAAAATAAACTGTTCTTTGCTGATGGAAAGCAGCTCCAAGCATCGCCGGTCTCTTACCGCTTTTGGTACAAAAAACATGCGAAGCCTGATTTTGGCAGTGAGAGACATTAGCTTTACTGAGGAGGTGTTTGTTGGTGAGATCTGATACTTCCTGATGTAGCAATACGCCAGCACTGTTGTGTGCCTGGATTCCAGCCTTTTGAGTGAAATGGGAAGTGTGTTTCCTGTGCTGCTGACCCAGCGGATGGCTTTGTACAGCCACTGACCTCACCCCAGCAGAGAGCTAATTGAAGCGCTTTGGGGATTACTCTGAATATCTGCAGTCCTGGACCTCAGATCAGCTCATTTTAGTTCCTGCTGTTTCTAAACTGCCTTTGCTGCTACATCCACAGTACATCCCTGTGGGAGCTGGCTCAGTCTTTTGATGGAGTTGTGGTTTTGTCACAGCAAGGAGTCATGGAAGGTGAGAGATGAGTTTGGCCAGGATGGTCTGATCTGTGGGATCTTAAGCGCAGTGAAAAGACAAAACGTGGAAAATAAATGAGTGGAATTCCTCCTGCAAGCAGATAATAGTTTACTCCTTTACTGAATTTCACTGTTGTGGGTTTTTTTTTTTGTTTTTGAAGTGTGAAAGGTGCTTTTCTAGCAGGAGAGTTGGCATCCTGAATATGCAGGGAGTGCTGCTGTTGCTCTGAGCTTTGCCAAACACCCTTTAGGACATGCATATCCTTTTCTCTCCTGCTAAATACTCAGCTTGATGGTAATGGAGAAAACAATCCAGCCATCCTTACTGCATACTGTGGGTAAGCGTTACAGAAGTGAGAATTTACATGACTGTGCAATGGATGCAAAATGAGTTTATCTGTATCCATCAATCCTGTCTCGGAGGGAAGAGCACCAATCTGTTCCCAGCAGCTTCCAACTCTCGGGTCGTCCTATATGCTGATCCTGATCTTCCTAGTTAGCTTGTGTGTTTGCCTCCTGGGGCAGCATAGGTCCTGCAGGCACCAGCCATGGGCAGCTGATGGTAGCAAGCATGCCAGGCAGAGGGAGGCTCTGGTGTCAGGTGTACTCTGTGTCCAGCAGAGCATTGTTGATCACTCACCAATTACATGGTCCTCGTTGGCTGTGCCTTGTTTCCGTGAATGGGAGACTCTCCCTTTTGCTCTTGGTGCTGGGTGTATTGGAGTCTGCTTCTCTCAGAGGAATTGTCGCTTTCTAAGCATTCTTTATTCTGTGAATTCAAAGGTTAGGAGATTAGCTGGTTGCAAGGTTGGGCTGACAGTTTCGTGGGTCTACAGATAGCACCCTGCTTTCTGCATCATTCTGACCCAGGATGGTGGAGGGATCAGGCTTTAGTGTCTGCTGGGCTGCAATTGAAGCTCTTGATGACTCTCCTATTTTCTTCCCTGCAGGTAGGTGGGAGTCCCCTGCAGCCGAGCAAGGCAGCATGGCAAGTAAGTGTTCCCTGTTCCCCTCCAGCACCACTACCACCTCTTCATCTGCAGTGGGGAAGTGTTTTGCAGGTGCCTCACAAGCAAGAGGCACCTGTATTTTTTGGGGAGGCTCAGATGCCATTGACTCTTATCCCTGTACATGGTCTGAGGTCCAGCCTGCCTTATTCCTTTCTCATCTATGCAAGGTGGGAGGTACTGAAGGGCGAATCTCTCCAGGACTGCCTTTATTTCTGTGAGGCTTGTTGCACAAAGCCTCCCCTGAGGCTTTTTGGACTGACTGACTCCTTTGCAGGCATTGCTGGTCTGCACCAAGATCTCCCAGCCATGGTGCTCCCCAGGAAGGTGGCCTGCGATTTGGGCCATGCTGTCCTGCAGCCTGGGTGGCCTGGGACACTGCAGCCCTATGTTCCTGGCAGAGACTTGGGCAGTGGTGTAACGTAGCCCCCTGCTGGAGCATGTTGCATCTTGCTGAGTGAGTGCCCAGCACATGTGGCCATTTGGTGCCAGCAGCTGTGAGGACTGGCCTGACAAAAGCTGGGCTGAGAACAGTAAGGGTGCAGGGTGGAAAACAGCATGTGATCTGTGAAGGGCTGGACTCAACCCTCTGTCCTCACTTATCTGAGCAGCCTGCACAGAGGCTGCATGTAGCGATGCAATGGGAACTCTGAAAGGATGGTGGTTGTGAACAGGAAGATGCTAGAGCTGAAATCTCAGGATCTGCTGAGGTGCTGCCAGAGCCAGCTGTGAAGGTGGAGGCAGAGGCCAAGCTGGACAGAAGAGAACTCCAGGGATGACAGGTATGCCTCCTCTTGTTGTCTGTACTGTGCTAGGTGGGGGAGGGAGCAGAGATCTCCACGCAGGTTCTGCCACAGAATGTACTTTTTATCTTGTGTTATAGAGGAAGGTCCCCAGTTGTTGCCATGCCTTCTAGCACTTTCTCTCCCTCGCAGATTTTAGCTGCTGACTTAGTAGCACCTGCTTCTTGTGGAAGCTGTCCCTTGAGGTGGCAGTGCCCTGTGCCAAGCAGTTTCTGTCATGCTAACCCTGAAGGATGTGACTTGCAGGAGTGGTTTGTGGTGATCAGCACATTTGCCCGCATGTGCTTCCCCAAAACTGCAGCCCTGACTGATCCTTTCCAGGCACAGCCATGTGTCATTTGGGCAAGGCAGTCCTGGGTAGAGGTATGGCTAAGCCTGCCTACCACCAGGGGCCAGCATCACCTTAGGAAACTTAAAAGGGATGGCAGTGAACTCCTGCTCCCCCAGCCTAAAGCTCTAATCTTTCCTGTGCACTGGTGCTCCAACTGGTGTGGGGAGACTTGGAGAGGCACAAGGAGTCAGTACAGACACTGCTGGGGTTTGAAAAGTCTTCCCTCTGTCCTGTGGTTTGGAGACAGCTGCTGCTCAGCTGTCTGCTGTCCTGTGAGTTGAGGATCCCAAGTCAGAGAGGAGAGTTTACAAGGCTCTTCTGTCCTGAAGGCCACTGGTCTTCCTGCCCTGATTCCCATGCATGTGGGAACTGCTTTCCACATAAAAGAGGGGAAGGATCAGTGACTTAGTTTCTGCTCTCCTGTCATTTCTAGGTCCTCAGGGGAGATTCTCTGGGGGAAGAGGCTCATGCCTCCATCACAGCATGTTTTCAACTGAGAAATTGTTTGTGATACCTCTCTGTGTGTCTGTTTTTATTTCCATCATAGTGACCAGTTCAGCAAAGCAGGGTCAAGTGAGTGGTATCTGCAGGGATGGAAAACCGTGCAAGTGAGATCTGCAGCTAAGCTTGTTGCTCCAGGGTGGGAAGGAAGATGGAAAGAGTCTCAGGCTCAAGTGCTGAGGAGGGGAGAGTTAATAGCACAGCTTGATCAAGTCAGGAAGCCAAGGAGGTAAGGCCAGATTTCTCCAGTGAAAGCTGGGACATTTGCAGAATGGATGGTGCCTTTGTGAAATTTCATCCGGTTCCGGAAAGGGGCGGGAGAAAGCCAGCCTGCTCCATCTTCAGCCAGGACAGCCCTCCTTGACTGGGAAAGCCAAGGCAAGCTGATCCCTGCCCTCCAGCGGTGTGCTTCTGTGCCTCTTGAAGATGCTTTTTCTGGTTATCCTTGTTATTTAAGGGGAGAAAAAAAAGAAAAAGATATGTTTGCATAATAAAGTTGATTGTGAAGGGAAAGTCTCTGACTCACATCATTCATGCTGTTCTTCGTTCACACCTCAGTGGTTTCAGCCTTCTGCAAACTCTCTCACCGAAGCAAGCCATTAGTAAATCACTAGGGGGAAATGCACCTACACAGCACATAAAGAGCACAGTATCTCCAAGCACAGAGTCACATAGCATTGTAGTAGTTTCTTATTTGTGATCTTTCCCCTGCCTTGACACTTGTGAGTATTCTCAAAAATACCTTGCTATATTATTTTAGAAGCAGGATAAATGGAAGGTAAAGCTGAAGGAAAACATGTTGACCTCCCTGGTGGCAGGCTGCTACTGAATGTTATGTTTGATCATTTACTAAGCATCCTTTTCTATTCTATCCAAGCTGGTCTAATGGGAGACTCTGTCAGTCCCCCTACCTCCTTGTCCTGCATCTGTTCTTATTGCTGCAGTGTGAATTAGTTCATCTGGTTAATCCATTGGAAGACTGAGCCTGAGGGGAAGAGGTAAACAGGCTTCTGTAGATCAGCCAGCTGACCTGATTCATCTTACTCAAAGAATGCAGTGAGATTGGCTGAGTGGGAAGAAGCAGTTGGATGTGTTTGGCTGCATACAGAAGGGCTGCCTTGTGAAATGTGTGTGGGATGTTTGTATCCTGGAAGGGTCATGGTCTGTGTGCAGTGTTGCTTTTTGGACAGCATCTCACCTTTCTTGTGCTAACAGGGTCAGTGCCCTTATGCTGGGAGCTCCCTTTTCCTGCAGAAGCCTCTGCCTGACCCTGGGTCCTTTTCTGATGTAGTTGCCATGTAGTAAAGGGGCAGTATTGTGAGGTCCCATCAAGGGCAGAAGGTTAAAAAACAAGTCCGTTGGAGCTGACCTATGTGCTCTGACACTGCCGATTTCTGTGTATGTAGCATCCAGTCCTGTTGGAAGAATGCTGCTGGTGCTGCATGTCTCTGGGCAGACCCCAGAAACCCTACTACTGTGTGTACTTGCTCAGCAGGCACACTGCTGCGCTGAGCTGTAGCTGTGGGCCGTTTGGTGCTTGGGATACCTTTCCACCAAAAGCGGGTGGGAAAACCCGGCTGCACAGAGGCCAAGGGTTTGTCAACCAGAGGGTTTGTCGCTGTTGAGCATCTGTGCTTTGTGTGTTGCAGTGTTCTTGGGGGCCAGGAATGCCCACTCAATCCTGAAGCGCTTTCCCCGAGCCAACGGCTTCCTGGAGGAGATCCGGCAGGGCACCATCGAGCGGGAGTGCATGGAGGAGGTCTGCAGTTATGAGGAGGTCAAGGAAGTGTTCGAGAACAAGGAGAAGACAGTGAGTTTGTCCCACTCTGCTCCTCAGTGGATGCGTGAGGCACTTATGCCTTAGTATGCTGTGGGTGGAGAAAAGCACAGTGGGAATGGCCTCTCCTGTTTCCTCTGTCCTCTTCATTCCACAGGCAGTATGCGGTAGCCTCACTTTTCAGCATGTTTTACTCTTGCAAGACAATGTTCTCTCCTTGTCATTGCTGGGACACCCTGCATAGCTTCAGGTTGAACTGGCACTCCCCTGGCATTTATAAGAGATTTATACTGCTGTCCCCACATCTCCAGGTGGGTTTTGACTTTGGCCACATTTCTCCCTGCTTAATATGGGGACTGGTGGCTGCTGTTGAGGTTTGTTCCCATCATCTTTTTTGCTGGGTCCTGTAGTTGTTTAAGCAGGACCACTCAGCCTTGGTGAGAGTGTTGCAAGGCAGCTGGAAAGGCCTCTTCTGTGGGCTTGGGGACAGCAGTGTTTATTGCATGTGATGGTTAGGGGCTGCTTGTCCCACGCAGAAGCACGTGGTAGTTCCTTCTGTGTTTCTACTGCAGATGGAGTTCTGGAAGGGCTACACCAACTCTGTGTACTCTGTCAAGGACCCTGGGCACAGCACGGAGCGTTCAGATGCTATGTACGTGGTGGTGCCCCTCTTGGGAGTGGCTCTTCTGATAGTCATCGCCCTCTTCATCATCTGGAGGTGCCAGCTGCAAAAGGCCACCCGTCACCGCCCTTCCTACGCCCAGAACCGCTACCTGGCCAGCCGAACAGGACGCAGCCTCCCCAGGGTCATGGTGTACCGTGAGCGGTCACAGAGCCAAGGGGAAACTCAGTATCAGCGAGAAGCAAGCAACCGAGGGGCTGGAGACAGCAGAGCAGGGGGCACCCCCCAGCCAGAGGGCACTCTCTGTCCACCAGAGCACTCGGTCTCTGTCCTCTCCAGACTGTCCAGTGCCACCCCTCCACCGTCTTACGAGGAAGTTACGGGACACCCAGACAGCAGCAGCGGCGAAGAGACCAGCATCTCCTACAACGACCCTCCACCAAAGTATGAGGAAATTGTGGCTGCTGCTCCCACTGCAGGCAAATAGAGGGTCTGCCTCTCTCTTGCCTCTTCACACACTCATGCTCATGCACCCACACCCCTTGCCATGCCCAGAACCTTGTTCAGGTGGCATTGATATCCCTGTATCACTTGTACAAGCTGGTGCCATCACACAATAGCCTTACCTTCCTTACCAAAAAACAGCTGTCCCCAAGCAGGGTGAGGGTGGGATGTGGGGCTCTGGGTTCAACCAGCTATCCCCCTTCCCCTTGCTCCCTGCTCACATAAGTGCTGCAGCAGCCAGAGCAGAGCAGCAGCTTGTTCCTGGCTCAACTGGGGGTCCTCCCTACGGTGCATTGGATTTCTTCACTTCCCCTCAGACATAACACTTCCCATGACTAAAACAGCCTCACTGCCTCTCTAGGACTCTGCTCAGCCTTACCCTGTGTGCATGCTGGCTCATGGACCTTAGGCACGTGTGGGGCTGGGATTGGTCTTTTCCATAACCAAGTCAGCAGGGGCTGGTTTGTGATATGCTGAGACCCCAGTCCTCACTGTCTCCTGTTTGATGCTTGGTGCTCTGAAGAGAAGGTGAGGAGGCAGGAGCGGTGCTTGTTTCTGTCCCCATGGTTTTTGACCAGGGAGAAAATTCCTCCTTTGTGTGGATTTGCTGCCTGTGGGAGTGGGGAACCCAGTCCATCCTGTTGTGCCTGTAGTGATATTTGTTACTGGGAGAAAGAGGAGGGACTGGGCAAGAAGGTGCTTTGTGATCTAGAACCCTTTGGAAAGAGAGGAAGGTTTGTGGTGGTCTTGCACGTGAGGTAAGTTGCTTTGGAACCATGAAGATGGCTGCACAGCTTTAAGCAGTGGGGATGTACCTCCTTTCTGCAGGTGCCTGCCTCACCTGTTTGGTGTCCTCACTAGGTGTGGGATGCAGGCACAGGGAGGCTGCAGATGTGCCAAACCTCCCTTCAGCCTTCCCCTAACCTCTCAGTCCTGGCTCTCTTTCCAAGGCTTTTGTCCTTCAAGCCGCTCTGGTGGGCAGAGCACATGGCCACGGCCATGGTGCAGAGGGCCTGTCGGCAGAGATGGCTGCAAAGGTGAACAATGTTTGTGCAACCAACCAGGCTCTGGCAGCTGGGGATGCTGATGGCACAGGAGCAGAGCTGGCCCCTTGGAGCCAGGGCAGGGTAGAGCACGTGCTTTGCCCTGGGACCAGCGTGTCCCCTTCTCCTAGGCAGCCACTTCTGGGCTCTGTGTGATGGGGCTATCCTTTCCCAGTCATGTCTGATGGGCTATAAGGGGGTTCTTCTCACCAGCCCTCAGTACCAGCCCAGAACCTTGTAGCACTGCCGCCCTGTAGCATTCACCCCAGCACCAGTCTCCACCAGCACCAGAAGGCTGTGGTGTACCTGCAGGCTGCCCTCACCCGCTGTCCTTTGTCCCAGTGATGCTCTCAGCCCGGAGCTGAGGCTTGCCCAGCATGGCTGTCCCTTGGGCAGGATACAAGCCCGTGGGGTCTGCAGCTGCCGGCACCTCATCTGTCCCCTGCCAGGCCTTCACGCTGCCTTTTGGCCTTAGTAAATGCAGGTGATGGGACAACCTGGCAATGAGTGCCAGGGTCAGAGCTGGGAAAGACTGGAGGGAGTCAGAGGGCATTCTTGGATCCTCTGTCTTTGATGCACGGTCATTACCTTTGCGGTTTGTATTCTGTAAAACTTGGTATATTTCTGTGCAAAAAGATATTTATTAAAAAACCCTCACTGTCTAAACGGCGCAGGGTGGCTTTTTCCCTAACTGCTGGGAGAGGGTTGTGGGATGGGGCATTGCACCCCACATCGCTGGGCATGGTAACAACAGAATGTCCTACGAGCCCGGCTGGTAGGTGAGTATGAGGGATTTCCTGACCGCCGGGAGGGGATTTGGGCGCACAGCTCGTCTCTGCATTCCTCTGCACGCGCCTAAACCTCTTAGATAATCCCCTTTAAATAGCAAGACTAGGGCAGCGCGAGATTTATTTTAAGCCCTTTCAGAACTGGATTTTATGGTAAGGCCTTGGACTCCGTCCCCATTCAGAAGCTTTTAAAACCGTCATTCATCCCAAACGGATGGTTTTATCGCTGCATGCTCCACCGAGAGGCGGAAGAGCTCAGCTCCGGCACGGCGATGCGCGGCCGCTGCTGCCCGGGGGCCGGCGGCAGGAGCAGCGGCTGTGCCTTTAAGGCCGGCGCAGTGCCAGGAGGGGAGGGCTCGCCCCGCTGACATCACCTCCCCGCCGGCCGGGCAGGAAGAGCAGCTGCTTACAGGTTGAGAAGTTGCTTTAAACTGCAAAAAAAAAAAAGTAAGTGCCCACTCCCACCCCGCTCCGCCCTTTCCGCCAGCGGGGATCGCAGCGGGCGCTGCGATGGGGCGAAGCCCGGCTCCGGGGGGAAGAGGGGGCTTTAGGAGAGCAGAGCAGATCTGCGGTCACGAACCTCAAGCCGGGGGTGCCAGACCGTCTGGGGCGGAGGGATGCCGCTGCCCCTCCTGTCCGCGCGGGGAGAGAGGCGGGCGGTCTGTCCGCAGGGCAGGACGGGGGGGTCCCCTCTGCTTCCCCCCCCCTCAGCTCCGCATCCCCGCGCTGCCTATGCGAGGAGAAGCGCAGCACGGAGGTGGGGAGCGATCGTGTTCCATCGGCATGAGCAAGATTGCTCGGCAGCAGCTAGAGAAACCCCTGCAGAAAGTTAAAAGCGGAAATCCGGCCATTTAAGCTCTTTCTTCTTATGGATTTTGACATCTGTGGGTTTTTGGTGTGTGTGTGTGGCTTAGATTGTCAGAGCTCGCTCCCCTCTCAATCCTTTTCTCCTTGGGAGCTGTGGCAGTTCCATAGGTGATTAGGACGTGACCCTCTTTCCCCTTTCTGGTTTATTGCTCCTCATATGCTGCTTTCTGAGAGAGAAGGATGAGAAGAGAGCACAGGGTGTTTATTCCTTTAAAACCCCCAAATCGGAGGTGGAACCCAGTGCTTGCCATGGCTGTGGGGCTGCGTGTCTGATACAGCATTCAGGAATGGCACCTTTCCCTGGGACAGTCCCAGGACTCGGTATCGGGACCGACCCGATTTGCAGGCACGGGGATCTCATTCGTACACACATGGAAGCAGCAAAGTGCCGCAGCTGATGACGCTGGGCAGGCTTCTGTCCCTTTAATTAAAAGGCTTTTAATGATGGAGGAGGAGAGAACAGAGTGAAGTGATTACTGTTGGCGGGGAGCCGCCCTGGCATGCCTGGAGTTACAGGGCTGCTGTGGGGTGGGATTGGTGCTCTGGAGCTGCATCTCCGGCCATGTGTGCGGCTCCAGGAGTGCTGCTGCTGCTCCCGGGAGGCGGGATGGGGATGGGGATGGGGATGGCAGTGGGGAGCCCTGACTGCTGCCAGCTGGGGGTGGCTGGGCTGGCAATGCAGCGTCAGAACACAGGGTGCTAAAAATAGAGCCCAGCGTGATCAGAGCATGCTGAGCTCCTGCCGTTCTCACCCTCTGAGCTTTGGAGAGGAAAACGTCCCCTTCCTGCAGTGCTTTGGGCTGTGCTGGGGGATTTTGACTCAGGAGCAAAGGGGGATTCCTCTCTATTGCGAGGGCAGAAGGGGGGGCCGAGGAGTCTGTAGGGGAATGGGGTTGGCTGGGGTCTGGAAGAACACAGAACAGTACATCAGTAACGTCAGGAACAATAAATCAGAAAGCAGAGAGTCAGAGGGGCTGGGGACCTGTGTCCCTGCTGTGTCCTTGCCAGAAGAGGCTTCCTTTCCCTATGGGATGATGGCTAGTTATCTGACACCACTGCCTGAAACAAAGTCCATCCTGTTCAGCTCCTTGGTGTGGATCCCTCCAGGAGATGGGCACGAATGCAGTACAGTCCTAGAGGACAGTATGGTGAAAGTGTGTGGGGGGACAGTTTAGTTCTTTCATACCATCCTGCTGGCAGCTGTTCCCACCCCATGCTCTTGCCCCTGCCAGCTGGGCTCCATAGGACTCCCTGTTCTCCAGCACATCTCCTATGGTTCTGTCTGTCGTTGCTTCTGTATGTGTGTAGATGCCTTACAGCACGGGTGTTGTCCCTGTGCAGGTGTCACTCGGCTGCCTGTGCAATCTGGGGAAAACAGACAAGATGTGGCCACTTTTGGAGCAGAAAGTGAACGCAGTCCGCTGTGACCTGCTCTTCACTGAGGACATCAATCGAAGGATGCGGGTCCCCAACAGACTCACCGTGGCAAACAGCTTCAGCCCTGTGGATGAGGAGCCCATGTCTGAAGGTGTATCCCCTTCCTTTCCAATACATATCCCTGTCAGGATTTCACTTGCAGGTAATGTGCTGGGTTTTTTGGGGTGCCTGAAGTTTGGCAGGGCTCTGTAACATTGCAGGGAGAACTGTTTTCTAAAGCTCAGTCCTTTGATTTGCAAGAGAGGAAGGAGTCAGATACTGTAGTCATCTTTCTCCTGGAAAGTAGTGTGGGAAGGTGGAGAGATGCCTAAGGATGAAAGGTGGACAAAGATGGCTAGCAGAAAGCAGGAGGGGCCTTTGATACAAAATGTGAGGAGTGAAATCTGGAGGCATCTCCTTCCATGTCTTCCAGTTTATTCTCAGTTTTGGGGATGCTGAAACATATGGCCCTGCTCTTTGACAAGCTGTTCTCAAACCTTGCTTTCCTGGAGTGGTACATCCAATTGATTTCCATTCCACACCTCTCCAGGCTCTCTAATTGCTCACATCTGCAGAATGTGGCTTTTGATGTACATCCATTAACAGTGGACACAGGGCTGGCAGCCCTGTATGAGCGAATCTCTCTTCCCTGCTGCCCTGAGACACAGGGCTGGCAGCCCTGTATGAGAGAATCTCTCTTCCCTGCTGCCCTGAGAACAGCGGGGCACATTCAGGTGTTTCATTCTTCCCTCTCTCTTTTCTGTGAAAACATCAGATGCAGATCTCAGACCCATCCTGCTGGACCAGCAGAGGAATGTCCCCTGCGCTGAGGTGTGCGTATCCCCAGACTCCTCGGCTCAGCACTCTGCATCGGGGGAGCTTCCTTTTATGCACATGGCCGGCAGATCAAGTGCCCAGAATCGCAGACGACTGGTACTGTAACGAGGGTGGGTGGGCGTGCATGTGTTGGCAAAGGGAGCACATCCCCTGTGCTTGCTTTGCTCTGGAGGGCCAGGATCATCTTACTGGGCTGGGGCTTGAGAAATGCCCCCACCATTGAGGGCTCTTCATCGGGCACAGGGCTGGCTCTGCCTAAATTGAGCATGGTGGTGATGGGTTGATGGTTGGACTGGATGATCTTAGCGGTCTTTTCCAACCTTTATGATTCATTGACTCTAATGCATCTGTGTTTGATGCCAACAGGGCCACCACGGCGGCAGGTCACGGCGGCAGAGCCAGCACAGCAGTGGGTCACGGCGGTCCCCAAGTGACAGCACCCAGCTGGCCTTGCCCAGCCCAGCCCTGCACCATGAGCGGTGAGCATGGACCTGGAATGGTGCTGGGTGGGTAGGGACCAGCATCCATGGGATCTTTGGAGCTTTGTGTTGGTGCCCCAAGATGGGGGGGAATCCAAATCAGGGCTAGCTCTAGTCTTGCATGAAGCTAGTTAAGAGGAAAGTGTCCTCTGGTGTCAGTAGGGAGAGGTTTGCTGCCACCTGAGGCACATGGGACAGCGTGTCCCCACTTGGAGCTTGGTGGCAGCGCTGTGGGTCCTTGCCTGGCTGTTGGGTTTGCAGCCAGGGTGAGCAAAGAGCAGGTGTGCTTTTTGTGAACAGTAGTGTGGTTGACATCATGGTCTTTCTCTCCAGTGGAGAAAATCATTGAGCTTAATTCCAGAGCAGAGCCATCTTCTGCATAGAAGAAAGCCTGTCCTGGGCTGGCAGAGAGGTGTGGTCGTCACACTGTCATTGCTGCCTTTGGAGGATCTAAGTGACTGAACCTGGGCTGCTGGAGGAACTCCTCTCACCCAGAGACACAGAGGTCTGGGTGTTGATGGCATCACCCTGTGGTGCTCGGACCTGCAGGAGGAACATGGGGCCTGTGATTGTGCTGTGCGAGGCCAGGCAGTAACCACTGTGGTTCTGTGTGCATCCCAGGCTGGACACCTGCCCCCCACCTGCTCACAGTGCTCCACTTCCCCTCCTTGCCAGGACGGGCAGGATCTACTCCATGCAGAACATCTTCCAGACCATGTACCTGCTGGGCCAGGTGCTCTTCCACCGTGTCCAGAACTCTCTGCAAGACTCAATGTCATCCAGGTGACGTTGGCTTATCCTGAGCCACCTCCCTGCTGCTCTACATAGGCCTAGCTTTGCCTTGCCGAGGCAGGAGCCAGCCCTGAGCTTTCTAACCTCACAGGACATGGCTGCTCCAGCCCCTTCTTCTTACCTATCCTGCCAGCTCTGGGTGCCTCCTGCTTGTTTTTGTGCCACTCAAGGGACCTAACTTCTCCTGGGACACTGCTGGGTTCCAGCTACTCCTCAGTGCTACTCTTTCTGCATGCCTTGATAGCTTGATGGAGGGAAATGTGGGCAGGGAATCAAAACCCAGCACAGATGGCCCTGTCACCAAGACACTTCTCCCATGTCCTCACAACATGCATGACAATCTCTTGGTTGCTCTTCAGTAACCTTTTCATCTACTATCCTGTGTTGGAAGGGATCCATAAAAATCATCTAATCCAAATTCTGCCTCCACACGGAAGCACCTAAAAATCACAGAATCACCAAGGTTGAATTGTGAGAATACTTCTGATTCTCCTTGGGCGAAACCTCCAGGCAGATGGGGAGGAGGGGGAGCGTCCATCATCCATGCCACCCTGGCACATGGTACCTTTTTTCCCGGGCTGGAGCAGGGCTGCAGGCAGCAGTTTCACTCGGGGCAGTTCCAGGTGATGACCAGCGCACTGCTTAAAAGCAGGGACATCTTCAAATGTGGTTTTGTTTTTTTTTTAAGCTTCTAAAACTTTGGTTATTGCATACATGGACCTCCTCCTGTCTGACGTGGAGGAGTTTCAGCTGTGACACTGTGGAGCAAGGAACTCAGAGAGTGGGGTGAGTCCTGAGCTCTTCCCAGCTCTCCATCTCCCTTAGGAGCCAAGCAACTTGGAAGGCCTTTTCTTGGTACTTTGCATCATTTCAAATGCATGCATTCTTTCGTGCTCCCCACAACAATAAAAAAGTGACTGAGCTCACTTGTTTATCCTGAAATTTTAATGAAGAAAGCTCTGGCCTCAGAGAGAGGCTGGATTATTTCCATGGCAGTGACCTCTTGAGAAGTATGAGTCATCAGAGGTAATTTCTGTTCTCTACTCTAAAGGGTGTTCACTTGTGTCAGTGGGAATTTTTCAAGTAAAAGCTGCAGGAAATGTCCAATTTTAATGGCTTTGTACTTGGTAAAATTGGATATTCTTTCTGTTGTGACTTTCATATTTACCACAGCTGCATTACGTGGATGCATTGTCTTATGAGTGTCTTTTCAGGCCAATTCCTTGAATGTCATGAGTGAGTTCCTCAGAAGAACTCATTCAACCCGGTTAACCCATAACATGTCAGTGAGGGCCTGTGGCAAAACATGGACTGGTTTGAGTTGGAAAGGACCCTTAAAGGCCATCAGATCCAACTCCCCTGCAATGAGCAGCGGCATCTACAGCTCCACCAGGTTGTCTGAGCCCAGTCCAGCCTGACCTCGAGTGTCTCCAGGGATGGAGCATCCACCATGTTGGTGTGTACAGTAGAACTATGGATTACAGATGAGCTGATGGAGTGCTACCCTATAATGATGGGAACAACAGATGAACATGGCAACTCTAATTTCTCAGCATGGATCTATTGTGGCTTTGTGCTGTGAGCCCTGGAGCAAGGTTGTATCTGCAGGAGATGCTCATCTACGGCCTCTGTCCCTTTGTTTTCAGGGAAGGAGGGAAGCGATGCATGGTTGGAATCCTTGTTTATGCTTCTGGTTGCAAATAACATTTGCTGTGAGGGCAAAAAATGCCTTTTGTGAGGGAAGTATTGGAGCAGACCAAATCCTGGTGCCAGCAAACCCAGGCTGGCTGGCACATGGTCAGATATGTCCCCCCTACTAGTAGCTGCTTCCTACCCACTGGGTCATCTCTTGCTGGGTAAATACCATCTCTCCATTTGGGCACTGGTTGTGGGATTTCTGTTTGCCTGACCTGCTCTAATGATGGTTTGTCCAATCCTCAGTGGATTCCTCTGGCTGTAGGAAACGGACTCTGGGTAAATACGTTTTCTGTCTGTTGGGTCTCTAAAGAAACATAAGCATGTGGCTTTCCTGTTGCCTGTTGTAGCTTGTGTTGAGTGCTTTGTTGTGATCACTGCGGGCTGCATGGTGGAGGTATAAGCATGATGGGGGTACGAAGAAGTTGGTAGATGCTGTGGGAGTGCTGCTTCCTCTCTCCCGACGCTGCATGCTGACAGCACGACCTGGGTGTGCACACACTGCTGCATGGTTGGGCTCTCCATGGCAGTGCCATGTTTACAGGAGGGTAACTGCAGTTCCTGAACAGTGTGCATCTCTGTTTTCCTCCCACAGCTCCCAGGAGGTTGGAGCAGCCCCGGAGGAGGTCATCGCTGCTGAGGCTGCAGCAATGAAAAAGGAGGTGAGAGGAGAGTAGGGGCTGCAGTGGTTCCTGGGAAAGCTGCAGGCGGGTGGCTGAGGGTGCTCCAGGGCTTGTTGCTAGGGCCTGGTTTGCTGGCATTGGCAACTAGCCCTGGGTGGTGCTCCTCACGCTGCTCTCCTTGCAGCTGGCAAGGATCTCGGAGCGGCTGTGTGTGCTGGAGGAGCAGCACAAAGCCTGGCGGAAAGAGGAGCCCCTGGTGTACTCCATGCTGCTCTCTGCCTGCCTCGTCAACACCTGGCTCTGGCTGTGGAGATGACTGTGTGCCTTGGGCTCCCCGACCCACCCTGGGCGAGAGCAGAGAAAGGATTCTTGCTCACGTATTGTGGATGGTAAAACTGTGTGTTTCTTCTGAACTTGACCTGAATTGGAACCATAAAGCTGGACCTGGCCACAGCAGCTGGAGATGGATGACAGGGAGTGGTGGGGTGGGACAGGGAGCATGGTCCAGTGTGTATAGAGCCAGGGCCGGGCTGTGTTTGGTGTACGGTAGCAACTATGTGGTGTGTTCTATGGGGTCAATCGTCCTGTGAGAAGCTGCTGTGAAAAGCCAAGCCTCATAAGAAATTTGTAATGACACAGGAGGTATTTGTCCTGCACAGATCAATGAGAGAGCTTCTGCCCCTTGGGCTGTGTATTGGAGGAGGCACAAACCCAAATGTTACGTCTTTGTGGGCATCAGGTCCTGTTACAGTCTCTGGCCATGGGTTGAGCTGGTCCCCTGCCTGCATCACAGCTTGGACATCTTAGTTCTACCTCCATAAAATTTCTCAGCCAATTCATAGAACCATAGAATGGCTTGGATTGGAGGGGAACTTCCAGCCCACCCAGTCCCAACCGCTGCCATGGGCTCAGGCTGCCCAGGACCCCATCCCACCTGGCCTTGAGCACCTCCAGGCATGGGACACCCACAGCTCTCTGGGCAGCTGTGCCAGTGACAGTTACTGTGGTCTCTTCTTCAACTTCCACCCCAAAAGCTTGTGCAGAGTGTTTGGGTGCTTTTGAACTGCTGCTAGGTTTTCTTTTCTTCCTTGAGCAACTGTGTGAGTTGTCCTGTGCCAGGGCGACCCCTGCTCCAGGAGAGGGGTGGGCCTGGACGATCTGAGGGCTGCCATCCGCAGGAGAGTTGGACTAGATGACCTTTAAAGGTCCCTTCCAACTCAAACAATTCTATGATTCTATGATCTATGGCCTCTGCTGTGGCACCACCTCCTTGGCTGCTGTCGTGCTGGAGGCTCTCAGCAGTGGGTTTGCAAGTGCTCAGATCCCAGGTGGCTGTAAGAGCACTGCTGAGCTCTATAGAGACTCTGGACTTATCCAGGAGCTTGGCTTTCTCCCAGGGAGAGTACATGGGAAACCTCCCTGGCGTAATCGTAAGACCTTGTAATAACAGTGCAGGCACCAGACTGGCCATGGACAGTTGCCCGTTTGGGCAGCAGTGGGTATCTGTGAGATTGCCAGTGCCAGAGGGCAGGATCACTCCCAGTCTGCTGCCAAGTTGTAACTTCAGCGTGGTACAACTGCACAGGTGAGGGGAATCCTTGGCTCAGGTGCCAAAAACCAAGCCCAGTTCAACAGCTCTGCTGTTTCTTTCCTTCCTTGACGTTTAGGAACACTTGGATTCACAGTGAACTGAGATTCTCATAGTGGTTCATCCAATGCATCTGCTGAAGTGGTGCCTGCAGGCCTTGGGCAGGTGTTGGCAATAGGACCTCTCTGTTCCACCTATAAATGATTGTAGCTGGATCTGCAAATCACCCAGATGTCTCAATGGCTTATTTACAGACATGGATGCTTAGCTGTTCCCTGCCTGCCACTGCATCAAGCCTCTATGGCTGTAAATCTGGCAGCTGGACATCTACTAATAAATAACTGTCCCACAAGTAATTGCAGGTCTGAACCTGTGGCTGATGTCTGGGTTGAGGACAGCACTGGGATTTACTGCAGGTGAGAGCAGGAAGGGGGTCTGTGCTTCAGCAGTGTGTGTGTAAGGGATGGCAGCAGGGCTCCTGGCTTGGCTCAGGGATGTGGACAGGCTGGAAATACATGGAAGTGAGGTGATCAGATGGGATGTGTTCCTGAAGGCTAATTATGGGAAGTTGCATTGGGTAGAAGGTGACTTTTTTGTCCTGATTTCAGCTGGGACAGAGTTGAATTTTTCCTTCATAGTGCCTGGCATGGTGCTGCATTTTGGGTTTGGGCTGATAACACACCGATGTTTGGCTGTTGCTGAGCAGTGCTGCAACCACCAAGGATCCTTCAGTCTTCAGCTTCTGGCACTGTGCTGCCAGTGAGGGGCTGGGGGGGCACAGGGAGATGGGATGGAGTGAGGACAGCTGACCTCAACTGCCCACAGGGTGTTCCATGCCACATGGCATCATGCAGAAAGCCTTGGCAGTGGTGGGGAGCTGGTGGAGCAGCTGCTGCTTGGGAACTGGTGGGCATGGGTAGGTGGGTGGTCAGCAATTGCATTGTGCATCACTTACTTTGTAAATATATGTTATTATCATTACTATTTTCCTTTTCTCTTCCTTTTCTGTCAGTAAATAGCTTTAACCTCCACCTATGACTTCTACTTTCCTCCACCTATGACTTCTACTTTGCTTTCTTTCCCCTGATTCTCTCCCCCCCTAGAACTGAGGGGAGGTTTGAGCAAAGGGCTGTGTGGTGCTGAGCTGCTGCTGGGTCAAATCCCAGTCCTATGCCTCAGGCTCAAGTCCTTCTTTAAATCTAGAAACACTGACCAATGAAGTGCATGTTTTAATAAACTCTATGTGTGCTGGATGTGTCTCCTGTGTCACCGAATCCTGGTTTGGGGTGGCTGAGGTTTTCCCACTTGGCAGCAGGACGCTGCCCTGCTCCTAGGTGCATCTGCAGCTTTCCTCCTTTGTTGTCCCAGGAAGGTACATGTGGGAGAGCTGGGTGTCCCCTGAGGAGGCTGCCACAACAACATGCTTAGAAAAAGAGGCAGCTCGTGCAATCTGACACTGGAGGGAGGTGCACCAAAGGGACAGAAGCAGCGAGGCTCCTGGAGCTCCCACATTTTTGGAGGGGGCTGCAGGCAGGGAGCAAAAGGAGAGGTGGGAAGAGAGATGAGCTGCTGCCACTGCTTCTGGCCTGTCGCTGGTTCTGTGGCATGGGGACAAGGGAAGGCGGTGTGTCCCTCCAGTGCTGCTAACCAAGGCTGCAGAAGTTCCACATCTGTTCAAGCTCACTGCTGCCAAGATTTTCAGTGAAGTGGGGAATGAGGCTTTGAAGGAAGAAAAGGTCAAGTTTTGGTGCTGAATGGACCCTGGATGCTGGTGCTCTCAGATCACACTTGCACAGTGTGCTTGAATCTGCGCCCATGGAAAGGACTGACCCAGCTTCAGTCGCTGCATGCAGTTGGATGTGAGTAGGAAAGAATGAAAGTTAGCCCATTCCTTATAGTCTTGGGGATGCAAGCGCTCTGCCAGCTGATTGTCAGCGTGGCTCTGTGTGCAAAACAACAAGGCAGACACCAGTGACAGGCTCAATTCTTGATCATCATCAAACTCTGCAGCTCTCTTCTCTGGGATTCCTGAGAAGCAAATGCGGCTTCCTGCTGCCTGAGAACAGGTAACTGGATGGAGGGGAGGGAGGGTCGGTGGGGAAGAAGGGGATGTGTGGGAGGGAGCAGTGTCCCTCCTCCCCTTTGATCTCTGGCTACAAAGCTGCTGTGGCTGACTACTCTGACGCACACTGTGCTGCTTGGGGCGTCGAGGGAGCCCAGGGGCCAGGAGTTTGCAGCAGTGAAGGGACACACACACTGTGCATCACCTGTCCTGGGCACTGTGGGGACCCCTCTGCAGCCACGTGGCTGTGGTGCTTGCTGAGTCTCCTATGAGGAGATGCCCCCTGCCGACCCCTGCTAGCTTGCTGGAGGCCTCGAGGGACGTCAGGCTCGTAAGTGGGCAGTTTTGGCATCTTGGTGGTGGCTCTGTCACTGTGGGGAGGTGGCTGGGTTTGTGGGCAGCTCTGCGTGTGTGGTCCCAGACCTCCACAATGTGTGTGCATAATAGTGATGTGGGCAGGGCTGTGCGAGGCATTACCCCTGACCATGCAGTTCATTATCAGTGGGATTTGCTGTGGGAGAGCACTGGTGAGCTGTCCCCAGGAGCCTGCTTTGCCCATGTGCACATGGCTGCAGGGATGTGGAGGGGCTCAATGGGCGGGCTGCTCAAATGCAAGCTTGTACATGCTAAGTCCATCTTGTGCTGCTGTGTGTACAGCATCTCTGCCCTCGGTGGCTCTCCCATCCCTCGTGGGGACTGTTTTCTCACCCTTGGGCTGTAGGAGAGCTGCAGCTCGTCACCAGGGCACAGTGCTACAGATGCTGTTGCCCTGGCAATGGCTGAGGAGCCCAGGTGGTGGGGAGAATGTCTTTCATGGGCAGATGTAGGGCCTCCTGGGGAGAGTACAATGCCTCATAGGGTTCTGCAGTGAGAGCTAAATGGAAAACACGGGGTGGGCACATGCCTTAGGCTTTGCCTCTTTTTCCTCTGGTGCTGTACCATAACTCAGTGCTCACACCATACACTGCCTCCTGCTCCCTGAGCTCCTGCTCTTTGCTCTTCCTAGGTCCCTGGCGCAGCTTGCTGGAAGGATGATGGCAAGGAGTAACGGCCTGCAGCTGCCTGGCCCCTGCCCACCCCTACCAACCAGAGCCAGGACTGATGCACAGAGCACAGGGCTTGGCACGAGCAGGTCAGGATGGCTCAGGAGAGGGTGGCATTGGTGGGGCAGGGCTGAGTCTCAGGGCACAGTGGCACACCCCAGCTGTCCGCTTCCCCTGGTTCACCCAGCAGGAGTGGTGGCATTGAGATGTGCAGTGATGCCATTGCCCTTCCTTCTCCCCACTGCAGGACCTACTCGACCCAAGATGAGACCTTGGAGCTGCACAGAGGAACTCCTGCATATGGGGAGGAGCAGCCAGCTGCCCCTCCTTTCCAAGGCAGACGAGCCCTGGCCAGGTAGCCGTTTGGGGGCAGGCTGCAGGGCAGGGTCGGGTCCTATGCATTTCCAGAGCATGGAAGGAAGCTGGAGAGCTGTTGCTTAGGCTCTTGTCTGAACCTTTTGTGCCTGGCTTTGACCTGGCTTTTGTCACAAAAGTTTGCTTTCTCCTCGCTGTGTGGGCAGCTCCTGACTTTGCCTCTTTCCCCCATTTAGGATTGTCAGGCTTGTGCTGGTGCTGCGGGACTGGGCCAGCAAGAGCTTGCAGGAGGAGCAGCAGAGGCCAGACCCCTTCCTTGAACGCTTCCAGGGCCCTGAGCTGCAGACAGTGCCTGCTGATGCCAGCAGTGATCCAGAGGATGAGGAGGCCGAGGAGAAAACCAAAAAGTAGGGCCCTTACCTGTGACACAGCCTCCCTGGGCTGAAGACTGGCCACATGCGATGCTGTGTAGGCAGTGATGGGCGAGGGCCAGGTGTCCCACGGGCAGTGGGCTCAGCTCTGCCCAGGGGCAGGGGGTGGCAGCAGCAGGAGGGCTCCACTGTGCTCTGCTGGCATCTGAGCCAAGATGGGTCTGCAGCTGTGCATGTGAGGAGCAAGGGACAAGGAGAGTCCACCCTGGATGCCGAGGCAAGCACAAACCAGTGGGCTCCTCCAGCCTCATTCATCATTGCAGGAGGAAGGGAGACAGAGAGAGTGCGTTTGCTGCCCGTCTCCCCGCCTCCGAGGTCAGACACCATGACGGCAGCTTTCTGAAAAGGCTCATTCAGACCCTGTGCTTTCATCTCCTCAGCTTGCACTGCCGGTGAAAAGCAATAACCTGGCTTTTCTTCTGCCGGCTAATTAAGGGGCAAAGCTCACGGACTAGTCTGGACCCTACCATTGTACACGGTAATTAAAACACCAAGAAATGATCCTTTTCTGTTGGAGGCAGGTATCTGAGCCTTGTATCAGGGCTGTTGCTAGTCACGGAAAAAAAGTGCTCTGCCCTGCGAGGTGAAAAGGAGCTTGTTAATTACTGGAGGGAGAGGAGCTGATGTGTGCTGAGAAGGCTGCTCCGTGCCTACGGCTCCCTGGGAAAAGCTGCACCCTGCAAAGTATCTGCAGGGGATGGGACAGTAGAGCTTAGTGCTGTCACCCTACAGCCTGAAAATCCCTGCTGAAGGGATAGGATAAAGGTCCCTGGGCTGGGTGTGTGTGTGTGTGTGTGTGTGTGTGTGTGTGTGTGTGTGTGCATGTGCATTTGGTGCTGCCCCACAGACTGCAGAAGGGAGACTACCACAGCTCTCCTGGGGAGGTGGTGGCATTGGTGACTTAAAGCTGAAACTACCACCATGATTATCATTGCTATTGAGGTGATTAGTACTTGTGATACAGTATTACAGCAGTGCTGCCTGGTTGCAGGTGAGTTGGTGTTTCCCAGATGCCAGTTACCTTATGTCTCAGAGAGCAAGAGGTCCCTTTCTCAGAAAATATTTAAGCTGCACATCAATCCTGTCCTGAGCAAAACACAACTGTTTACTCTTGTAATGTGGGGAGAATCACATGGATGTCCAGGGTTGCACCCAGAGGGAGAGTGAAGGAGCACTGCTGGCCCTGCTCTGAGCTCCATTCCCACCTGGCACACCACTGATGGAGGCTTCAAGGCACAAGTCTGCTTTTGAAGCTGTCGGAAGCAGCGGGGTGAGCACAGAGAATGTGCTGGCAAGTGGGTTGTTTTTCCTATTGCTGGAGGAGCTTTGCACATTCCAGAGCTGGAAGGGAGGCGAGGATGCAGGGGGAGGTGTTTTGCCCTAGCAGGTGGTGGTGGCTGAGCCTATCAGTCCAGCTGCAGAGTTCCTGTTCCCCAGCTCCTTCAGTGAGATCTGGCCATGGGAGCACATGCATCTTATCTCAGAACCCCAAGATGAGCAGGATCAAATGGTTGGGAGCAGTTCAAAGGCTGGACAGAGGGCTGAGCAGGCAGGCAGGCGGTGTGGGATGGCAGCTCTGTGATGCCAGCCGCTGCTCTGGGGCTTGGGCAGCCCCATGGTGCTCCCTCTGGTGCGCAGCAAGCTTTCCTTCCTGCTCTAATTAATCGTCTTCTCTCAGATCTGTCTGGCTCCAATCCATGCCTCATTTAGGAGAGGCAAGGTCATCTAACAGAAGTTTTCTGGTCACCCTCATCCGTACATCTGTTTCTGGCTCTGCCTCTGCGGCTCACGGAGGCCACCTGCTCTGCCTTGCCATGCTGTGGTTTCTCTTCTGCTATGCTAATGAACGTTACTTTGGGGATAAAGGAAGTTAAACAATGTGGGACATTTTTACTTATCACTCCTGGGACTGGATTTAGCCTACAGACTGGCAGTCAAGCTGCAGCTGTTTGATCCAGGCTAGTGCAAAGGATGAAGGGGATGACGCGGCTGGTTCCTTCCAACCCTAATTTCTATGTTTAGCCCTTTATTCACGCATTGCCAGCTCTGGCCTCTCTCTGCTTCCAGGAAGAAATGGCAGTCCTTTGTGGTGGACCCTGCAGGGGACTGGTATTACCGCTGGCTGGCCGTCATTGCTGTTCCTGTTCTCTACAACTGGTGCTTGCTTGTGGCCAGGTGAGCTGGGATGTTGCAGGGCTCCTGTCTCCTCTAGCCCTCATCTTCACCTCCTTGTTGTGGCTCAGGTGAGGCTCAGACAGCTGGTGCTGATGACTGTGGGGCGGTGGGAAGCTAAAGGAAAGAATCAGCCTATATTCAATTGGGAGAGAGATTTGTTGGTCTCACCGCGTCATCCTGCAGGGCTTGCTTCAGTGACCTGCAGAAGACTTATGTTGTCCTCTGGCTGGTGCTAGATTACATCTCAGACTGCATCTACACTGGGGACATAGTGATCCGCCTGCGCACAGGTGAGCATCCTGCCTTGTGAATGCTTTGCTCTAATATCCTAAGTGGAGGGACCTAATCTATAGCTCCATTAAAAGGAGGGTTTTGTCTACCTTAGTTCTCACTAGTACGAAGCAAGTCTCCAGAGAAAGAGTCTAATTTAAAGATCTGAGAAATGAGGTAAGTTTCAGAATGAAAGATTAATCATCCTGGCTTCCAATTTCACCTTTGAATAATTGTACAAAATTACCCTCATTACTATTAGTATTCGGGCAGAGTTGAATGTCCGTATCTCTGATTTTGCACAAGTTCAACTAGTGAATTATCTACATGGAAAAATAGTAGTATTTCATGCTCTTGGAATGGAGGAGGTGGCTGTACAGTGTCTGTCCGGAACTGCAATAATTCCTGATCTGGAGAAGGAAAACCTTTGTGTTCCTACTTCTTCCTGGAACAGAGTGTATTCCTAAGCATTATCTTTACATGGCTTTTCCTAAATGCTTGATAACAAAAGCTTGTAAGCCACCTACTTGGCTTACAGGTGGAGCTGGTAATGTTTGGAGGATTGTATATATGCACGCATTTGTATGGCATACCATGAAATGGTATACCATTTATCAGAAGTGCTTACAAAGCCTGCCGTAGGGTTTAACAAAAGCCAAAATAATTCTTTCTCTCTGTTAGGTTTCTTGGAACAGGGCCTCCTGGTTAAGGACCTGAAGAAATTACGGGATAACTACATCTACACCTTGCAGTTCAAGCTGGATGTTCTCTCCATCCTGCCCACAGACCTGGTGTACTTTGCTGTGGGATTGCACCGCCCTGAGCTGAGATTCAACAGGCTGCTGCACTTCTCCCGCATGTTTGAGTTCTTTGACAGGACAGAGACCAGAACCAGCTACCCCAACATCTTCCGTATCGGCAACTTGGTTCTTTATATCCTGGTGATCATCCATTGGAATGCATGCATTTACTATGCCATCTCCAAGGCCATAGGCTTTGGAGAAGATACCTGGGTCTATCCCAATGTCACAGACCCTGAATACGGGTATCTCACCCGGGAGTATGTCTACTGTCTCTACTGGTCTACCCTGACTTTGACTACCATTGGAGAGACCCCTCCTCCCGTGCGCGATGAAGAATACCTCTTTGTGATCTTTGATTTCCTCATCGGTGTCCTCATCTTTGCCACCATTGTGGGGAATGTAGGGTCCATGATATCCAACATGAATGCCACCAGAGCAGAGTTCCAGGCAAAAATCGATGCCATTAAACACTACATGCAGTTCCGCAAGGTGAGCAAGGACATGGAAACCAAAGTCATCAAGTGGTTTGATTACCTGTGGACCAACAAGAAGGCAGTAGATGAACGGGAAGTTCTCAAGAGTCTTCCTGATAAACTAAGGGCAGAGATTGCCATCAATGTTCACCTGGAGACACTGAAGAAGGTGAGGATTTTCCAGGACTGTGAGGCAGGTCTACTGGTGGAGCTGGTGCTGAAGCTTCGCCCTCAGGTGTTCAGCCCAGGGGATTACATTTGCCGCAAGGGAGATATTGGAAAAGAGATGTACATCATCAAGGAGGGGAAGCTGGCCGTGGTGGCAGATGATGGAATAACGCAATATGCTTTGCTCACTGCAGGCGGCTGCTTTGGTGAGATCAGCATCCTGAACATTAAAGGGAGCAAAATGGGCAACCGGCGCACAGCCAACATCCGTAGCTTGGGCTACTCTGATCTTTTCTGCCTGTCAAAGGAAGATCTAATGGAAGCGGTCACAGAGTATCCTGATGCCAAAATGGTCTTGGAGGAACGTGGCCGGGAGATCCTTAGCAAGGAAGGCCTGCTGGATGAGTCAGCTGAAGAAGAAAGCATGGAAGGGAAGAGTGTGGAAGAAAAGCTGGAGAGACTGACCTTGAACCTGGACACACTTCACACTCGCCTTGGAAGGCTCCTGACAGAGTACAATGATGCCCAGATGAAGCTCAAGCAGCGCATTAGTGTCCTGGAGTCCCAAATGAGGCAGCAGGATCTGGAAGACTTCTTCTCAGATAGTTCAGACAGTCTGTCTGAGGTTGAAGGTGAAGCTACACCTACTGGGTCGCAATGAAAGCGTGCAGATCTCAGCTAGATGATGTCTTGCCTTGTGTTGAGGCAGTTTTCCCGTGGGAGCACCTTCGACTGCCTTGATAGGACTTCTCACATGTTCTTAGCATTGCCACTGAGTGGCAGCTCCTGAGATGGCTCAAAATCAGACAACTGTCCTAGCTCCTCCTCAATCCTGTCTCATTTCTTGTGAAACCTCTGACTTGGGTCAGTAAGAAGAGGAGGATGACTAATGCCACTACTGATGTTTCCTTCCAGCTTCAGGAAAAGGTCTCTGTCGATCACACTTCTTTTTGCCTTAGTAGAAAGTGGGATGTGAACCTTGATGGGGGGGTACCTGGAGTACCATCTCGAGTGAGAAAGTCCAACTTGTGCCTCTCATATCTGCAGACAGGGAAGCTTGTCTGGGACGCTGTCACCCCATAGGTCATCTCCACCTCTTACTGCAAGGCTGGGCATCCAGCTGGAAGAGCAGGCAGCTGCCCACTGCTCTGTTCTTTCTGCTGTATTCAGTGCTCAGCCATCAAATTGCCCCAGCACAGGCACATGGGTAGCCCAAACATCTCTCTTACCAGGAAACAGCACTTCCTCCTGCTCTCCTGCTGCAGTGGTGGAGGGATTTCCATTTGGACTACAGAGGACTCGGATGATGAGTGCAGGGTGGATGTAAAGACTGCTCCTTATTGAATGACAGTGCCTGTTGCACTGTGAGAGGAACGAAGATAGCAGCTGTCTCTCATCTATTTAATGATGGCTGGATGTGCCAGGAAGGGTATGACTGAAATGACATATTTTTAAGGAACAAAGTGGTGATAGGACCCAACTGTGCCCATATTTGCTTTACTGTGGGTAGCTCAGAAAGAGTGTAGAATGCATTTATTTTCTTAGGCAGGAGGTTTTCTTGTAGTCGGTGGGAGTTTAGGGCCAGTTGCTGTCTAGAGAAATGAATGGCAGTCATGGGGATGAGTGTGCAAGGACAAAAACCTTACCCCATCACGGCCACCAGCAAAGCCCTGTGGGTCCACGGTGCAAGCAGGTGAGAGTGGCCATGTAGTCCCTGCAAGCTCAGCACCATCACTAGAGGCTTCCAAAGAGGAGGAAGCTTGTTAGAGAAGGGAATTATTGGGAAATTCGTGTGCTGGGTCAAATTCAACTCATACTTTGGCTAAAATAGTGGGATGACAGATGAGGGCATGCCAAAGCACAAAGGCTCATGGTGGAAAATGGAGAACACTTGCTTTGTCCTTTCTTTTCCCTCTCAAATGAGCCTGACTTCCTTTATGTTGGATGATTTTCTGTTTGAAATGGAACGGCCTTGCTTTCTGGGATTTCTGGGAGAGGGAAGATTAAATTACCAAAATTGGAACTCAGAGCACAGTAATGGTTTTTTTTGGTTGCCTCGATGAAATACGGGGGGGTGCATCTGTCAGACCGAAGCTGACTGTGGTTGGAGATGAACTGTCTTCTGCTCTGACTTCTTTCGCTACCAAACCCTCGGCTCCCAGCTTCTCCCTCCGCTCACACCGAGCGCCGTGAGCCGCCCCGTGCGAGGGGAGACGGGAGGGAGGCTGCGGCTGCTGCGGTTGGGCCGGGAGAGGGAGCTGTGAGCCGCGGAACCGCCGCACGGCTGCGTAGCGGCGGGCAGAGCAGCGCCGGGTTTGCTTTTCCCTGCGCCTGGTTTGCTGGGCGATGCGGGCGGCCCGGCGCGGTGCCTGCGCTCCTTCCTGCGCTCCTTCCTGCCCGTCCCCGGAGCGGGGCAGCTCCTGGCTCCGGCTGGGGGAGATGCTCACCGTTTAGGGGATATCTTCACTTCTTGCTGGAGAAAACGAAAAAAAAACCCGATCTTCCTCTCACCCCCCTTAGTTTTAATCCGAGATAATAATCCACTCGGGAAACTTAAGCTGTCAAATTACCCCGGAGGATGGCTTTCCAAATGCAGAGCAGATCCCGTTTGTTTTCTCGGGGCAGCAAGCCAGGAAATCACAGATTGATGAACCGCTTGATGGGCCTGCTAATGAAATTAGCAGTAGCTCCATGATTTTTCCAGTGAGCCGACAGGCAGATGCTGGAGAGAAGAGCACAGTGGCACAGCTGCACTGCTGGGCTGTCTGCATCCCCAGCACAGAGGACATAGGGCACAGCAGATGCACCCTGGGGCTGACCATTGCTGGTGGCTGCAGTATGAATGTCTCCCTGTAAGGCTCTCCTGGAGATGCCAAAGGCTGTGCGTGCTGGTTGGCACCCAGGAGGAAAAGCTGAGGGTCCGTTAAACTCTTTTGGCCATATATTATCTATAGTTTTGTTTCTGTTGGATCTCTCCTGCTGGAAGAAAAAATAAAAAAAAGTTATCCCCTGTACGACTGAGGCTCTTACTCAGCTGTGTTTTGTGAATAGGAGACATCAAATACGAGCAAATATTTTGGGGCTTTAGCTCCAGAGAGGGCAAGGGCAGAGGGGGGGAGGCATGGGGATTGCCAGGCAGCTCCTTCCAGTGCTGTCGAGCCAGAGGAGCCCCTGACCTCTGCTGCAGATTTCTGCAAATCTGCGGTACCGGAGCTGTAGAAAAAGGGCTGGGTGAATCAACCATAAATGCTGGGTGAATCAACCATAAATGTTTTGCTTGGTATTGGGCTCTCCTTCTCCTCTCTGAACACTGTTTCTAGGAAAGAAATAATCACCTCCAGTTGATACCTAGAAAATCTCTCCTGTTTGCCTGTGGGAAAGATAAGTACACATCTCACTGGGGAAATGGAGAGGTCCTGCCAGGACACAACAGAGATGACTCCTGCCCACCTGCTGTTTGTACTTCTGAAGATGCTCATGAAGAGGCACTTTGGTGAACTGAACAGGCTCCAAACTAATCTTTTCTCCTTAGACAACCGGGCTAATAACCTGGCTTTGCTCTTCTACCAGAACGGTAAGTTAGCCAGTGTCAGGTCAGCAAGGTTCATATAGGCCTGGACAAATGGATTTTAAGATTGCAGAGTGGTTCCAGATGGAGCCCTGGATCTTGTATGTAGGCTGAAACCTCAGCCTTGCTCTTCCTCATTGAACAATATCTGCTGAGGTTCAGCTGAGCTGCAGTCTCTTGAAGCTCCAAACTCTGCCAAAGGGTCTGTTGTGGTTGAGCAATGGAAGTGTTGTTTGCAGCCCTGTGTGTCTAAGGACTTGTAAGAGACAGAAACCTTCCTGAGATGTTTCACTGAGTCTTAACTCACTGATACGGGCTCTGCCCTGTGGAGGCAGAGCCTCCCTGCTGAGCATCCGCTGTGCCATACAGCCTGGTTGGTGCTCAGGCTCTCTTTGGTTCTGTGGAGCTCAAGTCCTCTATCAGCCTTAGTGCAGGGTCTCAGTGTGCCCTGGAGAGAGAGAGAATCTCTGGCCCCAGGGGCACATTGCCCAGCTATGAGGAGCAGAGGTGGAATGGCTGAGTGCTGCAGCCCTCTTGCAGGTGTGGTGTTGGTAAACTTTGCCTTGCTGAAGCACAGAGTGGCCGGTCTGGGTTATCCTGTCCATGATCCACCTCTGACTGTCTTGCTTGCTTTCCTGCTCCTCCCCTGCTTGAAATACCAGGGTGCTGCTTCCTCCTTGGACAGACAAGCAGAAGTACCCATTCTTTCTCAAATGGGAACCATGTGTGTTACCATGACAGCGGCTCAGGGTGAGCAGGAGGTGAAGCCATTCTTGTCTGTCTCTCTTAGAGGGATGGAGGGAAAGACTCGGGATACCTTCCCAGCACCTCTCCTGCCCTGCCCCATAGGGGATCTGCTCAGTGTGTGGAATCATGGGGACCATGTTTTTGGCTCTTCTGCCATACCTTGAGGACAGCTGTTGGTAGCTACATGGGATGGAGGGGTAGGGAGATGGTGACATTTGGTAATGAGCAGAGGAGCATTGGTTTCTCATCTCATGCATGTCTGCAGGTGCTTCTGAGTCTATTCATAGCTCTGTCGCTGGCAGAGAGCTGTCAAGATGCTCTTCACTCTTCTTGTTTTTTAATTACAACTCAAAGTTCTAACTCCTGTTGAGAAGTAAGGATTCAGCAGACACCCTCCTCTGCAGACGGATGTGCTGGCCAGACACGGGCAGTCTCAGCACCTGCCTCATCTAATGAACCAGATGTTTCTATTGAGAGAAACTCAGCCACGGTTGAGCCCCAAGTCCATGGTGATGGCCTCCATCTTCCCTTTCTCCATTCCCATGGGAGCTGCAGACACAGATTTTGGTACTGAAAGCTATGCTCTCATACTAGAGAGTGGTTGATGAAGTATAGGATGGATGACCTGTGGACCAGCCAGACTGGAACTGTCTGGATCTGCTGCCCCAAGGTGCCTTCTAGTCCCTCCAGCAGCTTCTCCCCAGTTGATGTACTGTGTGTGCTTGGCTGTGTATAACTGAATCACAAAGGCAGTGTATTTTGTGTGTTTGCGCACAGCTTTACAGATGTGAAAGTCAGAGGGGACGGTGAGCAGTGACCTTTAAGCAGGCTGTGCCACTGCAGCAGCTGTGTGCTTCCCCCATTCCAGGATCCTTGTCTGCCTGCCATCACTCTTAGAAATACCCAGGGCATAGTGAGCTTCAGTTGGTTTTGGCACAGGGCTGCTGAAATGGCAGGCTTGGGAACTTCAGTAGAGAAAAGACCTGGTGTTTTGGAGATAGTGCTCTGTAGGAATGGGACTGCTGGAGGACAAAGGTCTTCCCCATAGCAAGAAGTCCCAGGAAGCAAGATGCACCCATCCGAAAGTCCTCTTTTCCCCTCTTCTCCTCCAGGTCCCTCATCTCTCCTTCCCTCCTGGCCCTCTCTGCATGTCTTTGAATGCCACATGAATCGATACTTTTAATTAGCTGCTATTCCTCATTTCCGCTTTATTGCTCGGGTAAGCAAATTAAAAGCCAGCATGTTGTAGTGAGCAGCTCCCCAGGGAGGACTGCAGGCAGGCACTGCTGCTTGCCTTGGGTTTGGGGGGGCACCAGAGGCTGGGGGCTGTGCCAGGGGCTGGAAGGAAGGGCTGGGGGCTGACAGAGAGGCTGGACTCTCGCTCCCAGTCCTGCAGCATCCTTCTATGGCTGGGAATGACTGCGGAAAGGCTTTGTGGGGCAAAGGCAGTGGGTGAGCCCAGCCCCCAACCCACAAACACCCCTTTGGAA